CTTCAGCTTCTCCCATCTCCACATTCTCTTCGCCGGTGATGGATGCCGTGCCTTGGGTAGCTTCAGCTTCTCCCATCTCCACATCTCCAGACTCGTCTTGCTGGATTGCATCCTCTCCGCTAGGACCAGACATAGGAAGCGGATCAACCGACCCGTGGCGAGATAGCCATTCCTGGAAGGTCTCTCTGCTGTTGCGATCCGCCAAGAACTGGTTCATCATGTCCTCTCGCGCCTCCAAATACCCGGTGACATTGCTGGAACTGGCTGGAACGCCACTAGTTCCTTGCTCGGTGGAAGGATTTGCTGATGCAGATCCAGAGTCGTCGAGGATTCCTTCTGAGGAGTTGTCGGGAATTTCAGAAGTTGCTGGAGTGTCGATGGTGTTTGTGGCCGCGACTTGGGGGTTGCTAGCTTCTTGGTTCTTCGCAGATACAACTTTATGCTGGTTCTTGATCGCCCGAAGGAGTAGGTTGGACTTGTCTCGCTTGAAGATATCGGACTTCTTGAACTTCTTTGGTGCCGAAGGTACTTTAGGCTGAGTCTTGCGAATGTTGGGCTGCGGCGTCGCCAATGGCGTTGAGGGTACGGTAGGTTTGGTGCTCGCACCACTGGGAGGACTGGAGGATGCGGTGTCCTCGATGACAATGGCGTTGTTGATTCCAGCTGCTTGGTCCTCGGAATTTCCAGACGCCGGAGGAGCATCATTACGTTCGCTCGAGTACTTGCCCTGGGCCTCGTACTGCTGGATTTCAATCTGACGAGCCTCCCACTCAGCCTTGATGCGGGCATGCTTCTGTTCTGGGGTCTCCACTGTTGCAGGGACTGGCACAGGAGCGCTTGAGTTGCCCTCCGCTGCTTTCTTGGCCTCTGGACGAGTTGCGGGGGCGTCCTTAGCATCTGGTACGACCCCTGCAGCTGCTTGTGCTGATTCCTCTGCGGCACGGTCTCCAAGGAAGGGAGGGATGACAGCGCGGATGTTCTTTGGATCATGCCACCAAGCAGGGAGCATACCCTGCCTAACATCATATCCATCGCGCTCCTCAGCAACACGCCTCTCCTCATAAATACGCCTCGAGTTGTTGCGGTCGTCGGGCATCGGGTAGTTCGTGTCGGTTTCCTTGCCCTCTTCGAGCTGCTTGAGGCGCTGCTCGGTGGAGAGCCTGGCCATCTCCACCATCTCGTCCGTGATCATGCCGCCATGCATGGTTTCTTCGTCGAAGACTGAGGGCGTGTCGATAGTACCGCGGCCATTGGACTCGTCCACCAAGATCTGTGCTCGGGCTTTATCCGCCTCCCACTCCACCGTCTGCTCCGGAGTTCGCTCAGCATCGTCGGCCGCGATATCATCGAAGTCCTGTTGTGAGAATTCGAGTCGCTTTTTCTCCGCGTCCTCGTCGATCCTGAGAGCGAAGGAATGCCAGGCTCGGTGGTCTAACTCCCATTGTATGCGCTCGCGGATGGTTGATAAGTCTTGCTTCTTTAACGCTTCCCAATGGGTCCATAGGCGCTCGAGGATGATGGGAATTGCCTTTACTGGGCGAGCGCTGAGTTCGGCAATCATGTCGTTGCCGGGCTTGCGGCCAAAGGCGTTTCGAATGGCGGTGTCGACGACGTGGACGGTATCTCCGCCCCAGGAATCGCTGCCCGCGCCTGGTGGAATGATGAACTGGAACTGGTCTTCTGGTGCGAGGAGCTCGATCTGCGTCTGCATGCGCTTGAGGCGGTGGTATGTCTTCATGCACATGTCCTCTTTCCGGTCCAGGTCGGTTCGAGTCTCTTCAGCCACATTGGCGTCACAGTACCCGCCCTTCTGCTTCTTGACGTGTGTGAGCTTGATTTGGGCAATGCGCATCTCTTCGGCGTGGTCGTATGCTTGGCCGAGCTGAGTCCTCATCTGCTCAGTGACGGGCACGTCGTCCAGCGAATTCAAACCATCATGCAGGGCCACATAGCGGCACCAAATGCCAGGGTCTTTGGGGAGTTCTTTACCATCCTCCGGCTTATACTTTGGATTCCGCAGTGGCATCCAAACACGCTTGTGGGTCCCGACAATCTTGCCGTTGGCGTCGACCACTATGCCTTCACCGAGAGCCTCGGCGTCCAGCCAGTCACCGCCGAGAATGCGGATCTTGTGCTTTTTGATCGCTTCTTGGAAGGTGAGGGGCCTGTCCTTGGTGATGATGGAGGTGTGTTCGTAGCCGAAGAAGTAGGCTCCGGCGAGGAGGTGTCCGAGGCTGTGGGCCACGGAGTAGGTGGCCAGGCCCTCTTCCTTGAGGGTCTTGAGGAGTCGGCGCCTCCGCCTCGTCTCTTTGCCGTGTCTGGCTGCTTCTAGGGCAGCCGGTGTCTGGTCGGTCGGCTCGTTCGAGGGAGGGAGAGGGTGGGGGCCGGCCGGGGTTGGGCCAAAGAGTACTGGATCCTCCGCCGATTGGGTGGGCATGAGCGTAATTCGCTCGCCCGCAGGCACACCGACGGTTGGAAGTCCTCGCATATCCGTCGCACGCGCTATGGCGTTCTCCAGAGTCTTCGATGCCACCGCCTCTTCGTCCGTCGCAGGGGCCTGTCGGGTCAACGCCTTGACGACGGGTGCCAACAACTTCCTGTGATTGGGAGGGTTGAGCTTGTTGACGGCCTCCTGGTACTTCCACATTCGCTTTGTGCGGAAATCATTGAACTTCTTCTCTGCCGGGGTGGCAGGCTGTGCGTACCGAACGCCAGGATGTCTAGGCGGTGCCATTGTGGGGTCGGATTTGCTAGCAGCGCGGGTGACGCGAGCTGGAGGTTGTGTTGTGGTGGAGGTAGACGAGGCTGACTCAGCGTTGACGTCTTCGGCTGGTAGTGCACGCTCCTTGCCTTTTCCTCCGGATGGCCCAGCAACTACGGGCTGTTGTTCCTCTGCGTTTTCACCTTCTCCCATTATATTATCCTCCAGTTCCGCCATTTCTGCTAGGAAGTCTGCATCCACGCCCGGAGTGGCTGACTGGAGTTGTGGTGCTTGTTGGGGGACTTGTGTCTTGCCCCGAAGCTTTCGAGCAAGAGGAGCGGCGGTCGGTGGAGCTAACAGGCCTGGTGCCTGTGATGCCGCACGTGTTCGGGCTCGGGTTAGGCGGGCTGGAGGGCCTGGCTCGTCAACGACAACAGCTACTTCATCTCGGTCGTTTGTGATGATAATAGTTGGAATCTGTGGAGGGGGGGTGGCCATGCTCGGCCCGGCCTGAACTCCTTGGCCAAGTTCTCCTTGAACAGTCTTTCCAGCTTCAGAAGCAGAGTCAATGGCCTTCGCCAAAGCCTTTGCGTCTGCGGCCACTGGGGCGGCGTTGCCAACAGGGGCGTCAAGGGCTGCCTGCTGCTGCCCGTCCTGTTGAATGTTGTTAGCTCCCTGGCCGTTGTTGTTGTTGACGGTATTGGTATCCTTCCGTACCTCTTCTCCTTCTTCCTCTACCGTGCCCAGCTTGGCATTCTTCCCCTTCTTCGCCTTCTTCACCGGCTCGTCATCCCCATCGTCGCGCTTCCGCTTGCCACTGCGCTGTGACGCCGCGCGGGCAGAGCGCCGAACCATCTTCCTTCAAGAGCAACTGAAGACTGTGTCAGTAACGTGTGAGTGTAGGTGTCGTGTAAGTGGAGGTGTGGTGGTAGGGGGGACGCGCGCCTAGGGAAGCTGAAGAATGAAAATCCCAGGCGGAGGCGCAGAGATACAGCACAGCGCGCCTAGTGAATCTGCCCCGAGGGGAATCTTCCAAGCAGAGGTGCGGGTGAGTGTTGTGAATGGGGAGGCGAGGTGCGAGGAAGATGCCAGAGAGATGCTGTGGGCGGGCAGGCGGGGGTATTTGAAGGTGGTGCTGAGTTGTGAATGTTCACGGAGCAAGATGATGAATCACTACTCTTCGCCTCTCGCCGGTCTTTTTCTGCCTGTATATGCGCGGCCTCTGGGTGGTGAATTCACAAGGGAGGGGCAGGTGTAGGTGTACAATGTTGTGCTTGTGGGTGTACAGTGTGTATAGGGGGGCGAATAAGCGGAGGAGACGTGGACTTACCGATTTGAGGCGATTTGAGGAGGGGTTGGAGGTGGAGTCGGATCTAGGAGGAAGCAGTCAGCCTTTTGAACACTCTGATAGAGGGGCGAGTGTCTACCTACTGTTACGAGACTAACAGATACAATTCTGTTTTCCCGAGGGTAGAGAATCTGGAGGGGTTTTTGGGAACGCGTCTTTGGGGTCAAAGTCGCGCTGTGGGAAAGGGGCTGCGAGATACGGAACGCAGAAGAGATTCCTCGAGCACACACGACGAGACAATGCAACACTGGAGTTGCTGCAATATAAGTGGTGCGTGGAGAGGAGTGTCGACGGCGTAGAGAAGGCGGAGGTCTTGCGGGGAGATATAAGGAGACCCCTGAAATACGCCAGAGGGACCTGTCTGGCAGTGAACGCTCCCTCGCCCCCCTGGGCCAGCAGCACCCCCAATTCACAGATGGGAATGTTAGGCTATCTAGGAAGTTCTGTCGGCGCAGCTGCTGCTGCACAATGGCTTTACTCACCCTTTCTTGTGGCTGCACAATGCTGCGGAGGCGCGGGCGGCTGTGACGATTGACGACGGATATCTCACTGCCATGGCTTTCCTCTTGCTTATCTGGTACTGCTGTAGGGAGAGCCCCAGCTAGCAGGCAGGAGACGAGTCAAGAGGTAGTCTGATTTTCACTGCGTCCTATGGACATGCTCCCAGGACCAGCTATAAAAACTAACGACGGATATCTCACTACTTAGGCTTACCTCTTGCTCATCTAATACCACTGTAGGGCGAGCCCCAGGTAGCAGATAGGAGGTAAGCCAAGAGGTAGTCTGATTCCTACACTGTCAGCATAGGCATGCTTCGGTGAGCTGTAACGAGTAACAACGGATATCCTACTGCTCTGGCTTCCCTTTTGCTTATGTAGTACCACTATAGGGAGAGCCCTAAATAGCAGTTAGGAGGTGAGTCAAGAGGTAGTCTGATTTGCACCTTGTCGGCATGGGCATGCTTTAGGAACTAGCTGTAAGGAGTAATAACGGGTATTAAACTGCCCAGGCTTCCCTTCTGCTGATCTAGTACGACTGTAAGGAGAGCCCCAGCAAGCAGGTAGGAGGTGAGTCAAGAGGAAGCCTAATTTCCACCGCGTCGGCATGGACATGCAGGAATAATGGCTACATCATACTACGGAGGAATAGGGCTTGGCTATAGAAAAAGGGCATCGAGGGGGGCGGTAGGGGATCGCGGGCCCTTGCAGTGGATGCGGTCCAACCACCTGAGATGAGATGGCTTCGGCGGTAGCTATTCACAGCAGAAATGACGGCGCTGACTTGTATATATACAGATCCTACCTCAATACTGCGAAGTGCAGCGGCTTCGTCATTGTGGAGTCGTAGACGCGATACGGCGAAGAGCTCGGGGGAGAGGCTGTTCGCCCGCACAATGTGGCAGGAACAGCGGCAATGCACCGTAAGATGAGGCTCACCTGTGTCTTTGACGCCTTTAAAGGCGATGATCACCGTCAATGGCCTCAAGATGCTGCTCAGGGGGCGCGATGACCTCGTGGCCTTAAGTGTGGGCGGATGGCGGAGATCTCGAGGTCGGAGGAGCATACAATACTAGGCCATAAGTTCGGGCACCCCCATATACCACTGCACGGGCTCTACTCTTGACCGCTCGACACTACCCGGCCAGCCAAAAGGGTACCAAATCCCCACTGCGTTGACATTGGCATCCTCTTCTGAGTGGCGACGATAACCTCGTGGCCTTATATTTGGGCGGGTGGCGGCGCTCTCGAGATCGGATGAGGATACAGTACTAGGTCATAAGGTTTGGGCACCCGCATATTCCACTGCACGAGTTCTGCTCTTGATCGCTCGATACCACCGTAAGGAGTAGCCCAGCTAGCATGTAGGCGGCCCGCCAAAAGGCTACCCAATCCCCACTATGTCGTCATTGGCATCCTCCTCGTCGGAGCTCCGAAAGCCCATAGGGGTGCCCCTCAAGCAGTGGTGAGAGAGTGCCCGAAGTTATATTGTAGGGCTGTACAGCTGCCTGCAAAATATCACAAGAGAAGGGCAGCGGCAGTTGGTAGGACGAAGGTTGCTTGGACAATCGTCGCAATCGAGGAGGGACGTGTCGTCGAGAGGAGTGGAAGGCATTTTGCTCAATGTCTACAGAAAAATTACGAAATCACGTGTAAGAGCCGTGGCCGATGCGCAGCTCGGAGCACACCTAGGCGCTGGCAATTGGCCTGTCTAGGCGGAGAGGCAGCTCCGGCGGCGACAAGGCTGATTGCTATGGAGGCCTGCGGCGAGCGTGCGGGAGAATCCGCAGGCGGGGCTTGCAGTTCCCGAAGCTGGGCAGTTCCCCAGCGCATACTACTAAGTAAAGATACTTGAATTGTGTTAGGGTATACATACCTAAATATTCTGACCGACCTTCGCCTTAAATGGCACAGTGGTGAAAGGTTCGACTCCTTACCACTGCCCCCGAAGGTACGTCCTTTCATAGGTCTTGCGTTCGGCACGGCACCGCGGCGGGTGTTGAAGACATGTAGGTCACCAGGTTAACTTCCTCATAGTTCTCCTTGGTGGCCGAAGTCTTTTGATCTTTTTTTGCACTTTATGTACGATCCGTCTGTAGGTATCTGGGTCTATTTCGCTTTTATTTGGTGTTGCTGGTTGAAATAAAGGTGGTGAATTGAGGCAATTCGGCTGAATCTTTTTGCTCTTTTCATTCATTTTCGCGGGTTCGTTTGGTTGGCTGCAGGCCGCAACAGTGAACCTGCTCAGCACAGCCCCCTAGCAGGTTGACCTGCTTTCCGTAGCTGCTATCTGAAAACACGGCCTGGCAGCCCCTAGTAGCTATCTCAATGAACTCCTTTTGGTTCCTGTTGTGCTGTAGGCTGATTATGAGGACTTGAGGAGCATCGCCTTGTTGAGCGCACGGCCATTGCGGGGCGACGGCGACACCGCGACAACATTGTTTAACTCTCCGCATTCGATCCCCTTTCCTCTGACAACTGTTCCCCGTCTCGGGTCTCCTCAACGGCAGGGCCACCTAAATCAGAGGCCTTCCCGCCTCTGCCTTCGCCAGAATGCGCACTGGCGGCGCCCCCAGTCTAGACATTGAACGCCTTCAGCACACCTGCTGTTAAACACTTCCTTTAATCCGCTGCACTGGATGTACCACACATCGAAGAGTCAAGAAGCGGATGCTGACGACGAGGTTGGCACGATCTCTATACTCATCACTTTCGTATATGACCCAAGAAAGAAGTAACTGACATAAACACAGTCCATTTCTTCCTGCACATCGCGTTGTCCCGTACGCATACACAAGTGGCGCGAGCACTATATCGCTTCTCCTCGAGTGGTTTTGATACACCAACCTCGACACAAGCGCATCACATCCGTCAAGCCTACCCCAAGACCCGAGTCCCGCATCAGCCAGAACACGACGTCTTGTTAATCAGCACCAGCCGAGATCGCCCGCTGATCTTTCCCAACCATGTTGAGCTTGTTCGGGTATTTGAATATGATCCGGGAGATATAACATATTATTGATGAGGGGAGGGAGGCGCACAGCATCAGAGGCTGCTGGGTGGGCTGTTCATCTGTTCTAGTAATTATCTGTTAGATCGGGCTCAGTTGGTCCAGCCCAGAGACTGAGTCCCATATCAAAAGGTGCCAGTTCCCGTTTGGAGAGTGCCGGCCGGAATGCTCCATGATGTCCTCGCCGTTGACATTTGAACACCTTTCCTAAACATAAAAGGGTGCTTTGATAAGGAAGGCGAACAGATGGCCCAGCATGGGAGGAATATGTGGGTTGTTTTGATGAGATCCGAACCCCCTTTCCCGAAAGGACTTCCAGCCCTTCCGGCTTTCCATCTGCCTCGTCTGGAGCTTCCTCTTCTTCTGCCAAGCCCTCGTTTCTCTGCTTCTTGTGCGCTCCGTTCTCTTGATTCAGTCGTTCCTTATGGTAAACCTCTTCTGCCAACACGATGAGAGTGCTCGGGTTTCATGCGGTCCTTACCGCAGACGCGATCCCACATCATCAGTATTTTTCTGTGTACTTGGAAGCCGCTGGCGAAGGAGCTCCATTCAGGTCACCGACGCCCTGATTTGCTCAGCGTCGCTGCGACAAGAGAACATGTCCACTGGCTGGAATCCAGCAAGAAAGTCCACATGTGTCAAGGTTGTCTTAGATGTTGAACACGTAAATTGATTCTAGCAATACGTCGTGTAAATGTATGTAAGGTTGGTAATCAGAAAGCTCGGCGTGAAATATACTATCCAGATGAAAGACCAAATAGAATTGGAATATGTTGCCTGGGTTGAGAGCTTGTATACGCGATGCCACGGTGTCTAGACAATGGTAGTCATCAGTACTACACTATAAATGGATCAATATAACTATAACCGCGTTGCACCAGGACACAGAAGTTATGAACTGCTTAGTTCTCCGTACCTATTGACCACCAGACACCGAGTCCACCAAGAAACCGAGTCCGCCATGACGAGCCCCGCTATTTCATTTTGACACTCGCGGACCGAGCTGCTCTATCAAGGTGTATGTAGCTATATTTTGAACTCCCCATGCTATTAAGAATTCGCCAACTCCCTGGCGCTTGGTTGCTCGAGCGAGTCAGTCCCATAGGATCATCTGTTGTGCAGTTTTACTCTTATTGGGTATTCGAAGTGCTTTCGTTCGTCCAGAAGTAGTTTCCCATGGCAAAGTAGTGCGAATTATAATGAAAAGAGAAATTGATATACACGAAGCTTGGGTGCCGCACTGCTCCAGAACCCATGAGGTGTTCACATGCGTAGTGTTAATGACAAATACACATCTCCGGCGAGCCAGTAGCGTCCTCAGTTCCCAGTCTTGCATGTAAGGTCTATCCGAAGGGTTCCTTACCCCACAATCGGTTGGACACGAAGAGCATGGAATAGCATGGCTGACGAGTTTAAACCCTGATCTGGAGTAACTGTCGATATTACGGGCTCTGGAAGTCGCCGAGACAATCCTCCGCATTGGTATCTTCTTCGCGCCGTTTCATTGTGCGTCGGGATCCCCGCTTCACCAGCACGCCTCTCAGCCGAAAAAGCTGCGAGATGAATGATCCGGATCCCATGGGTGCTCTTGAAATCGGATTTGAACTCAACAATCAGCCCGACCAGACATGATGTCTTTTTGGCGGGCGATTTAATGCAGTTTCCGAGTGAGACACCCTCGAGTTTGAGCGTCGTGATAGCATTATCATGTCCTGAGTAGGCCGTGCCGCTCCGGACGCTTTGGGAGCCATGGTCAGCAGCACGCTGGTTTGTTGATCAAGGCCAGAAAAGAATTCAGCAACCATGCAGGTCCTTGCTGATGCATTTGAACGTATATCGCGGGAAAAATGTGTCCATACGATTTGAAAAATGAAACAACAATGAAGCAAAATAGGTCCTGTAAGCTCTCAATATGCGCAGCAAAGAGAAGTATGCCTAAGTTTGTTTATGAACTAACAAGGCTAATCCGAGCTGCAGGTTTGGAGAGCGGAGGATACTGTTTTCAACCCCGAGAGCGTATCGTATCTTGACGACCTTCAGACGACAGTAATGATGAAGTACAACGTGGATTGTGAGCTCATGATATGGGCGTTGAAGGGAATCCTATGCGATATCGAACGAGAACTAACATTACGAAGAGCAAGCTAAAGATCTGAAGTTTTGACAGTACCCACATCGACCTGCCATTTTTTCGTGTGCTGACAGGCTTGAAACGCCGTGAAAAGTGTGTCTAATTGCATTCTCTGGACTCTTGATTTGCTTGATAAGATAGCTCACGTGCAGATTACAGCACGACCTTGTAACATCCGAACCTAGCCGGTTCAGCAGGATGCAGGTCAACTGACGTTGGCCGCTACCTTGGTAGACCTGGCTTGGCACGCGATCTGCCCTCTAATATATTAAGAATGCATTTCTATATACTTTACCTAGGTAGATAGTAAAGTTTCCGTGTTAGAATGTATTAAGAATATATTTACCTTACCTAGGTAGGTAGCGAGGTTAGAATGCGTTGACAATACGTTCACCTTATCTAGGCAGATAGTAAGTTAAAATGTATTAAGAGTGTATTAAGAATATATTTACTTTGCCTAGGTAGATAGCCGGATTAAAATATATTAATAATGTATTCTTTACATGGGTAGATAGTAAGGTTGTTAAGTTAAACTGTATTCACCTTACCTAGGTAGATAGCCGGATTAGAATATATTAAGAATGCATTAAGAATATATTTACCTTACCTTAGGTAGGCAGCTCAATTTTAAGAGCAGAAGAAAGAACATCTATTGTAGGATATTGAACCCTTACCAGAGGTACCCGGACGTGACTAAGACCTAGTCAAACCAAGGAAATTCAGGCGAGTTTGATTTGAAGTGCTACAGAAGGGCACTTGATGTAGCAGTCTAGAAGTGCGTTGGAGGACTTCAGACGCTACCAAAGACGCGGAAAAACGGCTGAAATCCATGGTTTCAGATCTGGACTCCACAGTGCATGAAATTCGATATAGTAGTCCAGACGTACCATAGAGGACGTCAGACTCTACCAAGGACGTAGAAAAACAACCACAATGGATGGTTCTTGATCTGAACTCTTAAAGGCATGACATTTCATGTAGTAATCTAGGCGTACCACGAAGGACCCTAAACGCTGCTCAAGTCTTGTAAAAGTAGCAGAAACCGATGGTTTGAGATTTGAAGTGTCGAAGACAGAACATCTGAAGTTTCACGTACAGAGTATCACAGAGGCCTTCAAACGTTACTATAGACTTGGAAAACTAGTAGAAATCAACAGGTTGAGATCTGAACTGTCGAACACGTGATATCTGAAATCGAATGCACAGGGGGACTCTAGACAGCGGCAAGGAAGGAAAAGATGCAATTTACCACTAATCTTACCGCACAATCATTCCAAATATTTCATATCCGCACGAATTCATCAGCGAATTACCTTGTGCATATGGCTTCATGGCATCTTAGTATCATTTTCACATTATTCAAAGCATCAATTCAGAGGAGCCAGATCGGACGGTCGGCTCGGAGCCAGCAAAAACAACTTCGATTATCAGGCCAAGGAATCGGGCACGCAGCCAACCACTCACCACCGTATGGTGACCTCCAAACAGCTATCTACTCCCCCAAACCCTTTCCACCCCACCCCGCTCAACGACCCTGACGACCCCGAATTACCCCCTCCGCCTCCTCCTTCAGCCTCCGACTCCTCGATCCGGCCCGGTTGAAGTTGCTGCTGATCGACGCTTGGGAGCGCTGGGCGGCCGGGAACGCTGCGTTGAAGGCCGCAACGATGTCGGTCTGGGGCGGCAATCTGGCCGCCGGGTCACTCCGCACGTCGCGGAGGACCTGAGCCCAGTAGTTTTCCAACCACTGGGTCTCGGCGGTCGAGAAGAACCGCGCGTTCCTCTTAGGGGCACCAGAGCGTCGGTATATCTGGTTGCGCCACTGGAGCAGCGTGGTGACGGACTTCTTGTTGTTCCAGTCAAAGTTCGCAGCGCCGGCGTACGTCTTGGTGGTTTGAACGCCCTTTATGTGGCCTCGGATCGCGAAGAGGGCCGGTTCTGGCACGCCGAGGGCTACAGGGTTCGTCTTGTAGTCGCGGTTTTGCTCACTAGGGAAGAACTTCTTGGATGTGCTGGGGCCGGCGGCGGCGGCGTCTTCCTCCTCGTCGTCTTCTTCCTCCTCGTCCTTTCCCTCCTCTTCTTCCGCCTCTTGGGCCTCTTCCGCCTCCTCTTCCGCCTCTTCGGCTTCGGGTTCTTCTACCGCCTCTTCTACTACTTCGTCTTCTTCTTCGTCTTCTTCAGCCGCAACAAGGGCAACAGGGGCAACAGCAGGCACAGCAAGGCGGACAGCGCGTGCGCGGGAAGGGACAGAGCGTGCTCGAACCGGCAAAGCGTTCAGGTGATGCAGGCCTTCGGCGATAGTAGCATCAAAGCCCACAACAGCCAACATATCGGCCATTGCGTCTCTCTGGTGAGCAGACGCCGCCTCCTCGGCGCGCCACTCGGCCTCCCGGTACCGTCCAAAGTTTCTATAGATGTAGCGCGTTTGGTCGGGGTCGTAGGGCAGCAATTCGTCGGTGAAGTAGGCTCGGCCGCGGTGACGGGGGAGAATTCCTGGTCGGACGCGGGGCTAGAGCCAGTCAGCACGCGTCAAGATGAGAGCAAAAGGGAGGCTTACAGGAGCAGGATTGGCGGTTCCAGCGGCAGCGGCGCGGCGAGAGTTGCGTTTTGGCGGCATGGTGGTGAGTGATGCGGCGGTGGTACGGGATTTGGAGAGAGTGCGCGGCGGTTCTGGGATGGTTTGAAGTTGTTTGAGACGTGCTAGACGGCGATATGAAGAAGGCAAAGGCTGAACGCGAAGATCTCTGGCCTTGACGTTCTGATGCTGCCGAGAGAGAGAAGCACGACGAGGAGCTGCAGATGAAGGTTGCTAAAGCTAAGCGAGAATTGAGAGGTCACGGGCCTCCAATTGTGGTGTGAAGTTGAGTTGCCAGGGTTGCCTGGCGACGGGTGAAGCGAGCAGCATTGACGTCAGGTTCACAGCACGTTTGCTCGCGCCTGGTGAACATTGTTCCATACCCAAGTTTGCGAGCCCGCTGAGGTCAACCTTGATTGATCAATTGGACTTCGGCTGGCCCAAAAAGTGGAGAGTAGTAGTGATGGAGGAGCTTGGAGAGTTGAACCTCTTTTGTAACCCATAATGCCATTACCATTTGGAGTAGTTCGGATTGGAGCAAGCATATTAGGCCCCGCCGATGTTTACCTTATCAATCAATTAATCAGATTTCAGCGGGCCCGAAAGTGCAGTACGGAACCGATGGAGGAGCTTGAAGTGTTGCAAGCCTCTTATGCCCCAGAACAGTCCTATTCGCTGCAACGCGCGAGGATTGGAATGAAAGATTTTGGACTCTGCGTATGCCTACTAAGGTCGACCTTGACTGATCCATTGCGCCTTAATGGGTCGAAAGTGGAATGTACAAAGAACTCCAGTAATATGCGGAGCAATGGACGAGGATTGCTGGCGATCGTTTTAGGCTTCGCGCTGGCCCGCTGAGGTGGGCCTTCACTTGTGATTTGTATCTGAAGGAACCTGAAGAGTTTGGAAGTGATGGAGGAGTTTGAGGGTTGGTGCTCTTCCATAACCCGGAATTTCAATGGTATGCGGAGCGACGCACGAGGATTGGGAGCGAGCATTGCAGGACGAATATAGAAAGTATGATATTCATACCCTCCTGAGTCCGTTCTTCTTGATCACTTTGCTAGTGGACATTTGATTGCTGGCGGAAACGTCAAGAGTTTATAGGATAGATATAATTGAACATGAGTTTATATTGAAGAAAGTGAGTGACTTTATATACGTGAGAATCAGGCGAGTAACGTGGCTATCGCTGGATGTATTCCGTATGTTGAGGTTGTAGCTCCGAGCTCCTAGTTCTGAAACTGTATAGATCTACGCGAATCGTGGATTGCCAGGAGGACTCTCGTTGTTGAGGCAGCGGAGTTGAGCGCGAGCCCACAGATCAGTATAGATCTACTAGGCATAGCTTTGAGGCTGAAACCAGAAATCAACATTTGACCAATGAAGTTATATCACGCGTCCACCGGCTCCTCGATTGTAGAGTGTGGGAGCAATGGAGCTGACTTGAGACACAACCCTCATCTATACTTCTAGTTCGGAGCAGCACAGCCAATTCACAAGCTTGCATATGACAGTGGATGTTGGACGGTAACAGCGGTGCGAAACACCCACTAGCTCAATCTCCCATCTGATTGTGAATTGTAGAAGTGGTTGAGTTCCACTCAGATGGCAGTCGCTTCCATATCCTCTTGTTCGGCGCGGGGTAGCTGATCTGTAGCAGGCGCATGCGATGGACACTTGACTGAGGTGGAAGGGTCTCAAGCGTTCACTGGCCTTCAATCGATCTGTGAAGTAAAGCTATGAAAGATCTGCATTATTCCGAAGACAAAGGATATAAAAGAGTTGCTGTATGGTGTGAGCCTCGTTGCAGCAGGCTCTCAATCGTCAAGTATCCACCTCAATCCAATTTATAGATTGTAGCTATAACGGAGTACACAAAAAGTAAACACTTTTTAAATACCTCCTCTCCGCAGCCATGCGGTTGCCTCGAGGCAATAGTACGTCAAGAGACGTTTCGGCGAAGTCTGTCCAGCAGTTACTGTTCTTGGTCCGATTTGTGGAGTGTGGTCGTGATGATGGTCAGAGACGTTATTTCCGAAGAGAGAGAAGGTACCATCGAGGCTGTGCAGCACGGTGCTATTCTTTAGTTTTTGAGAGCATGATTAGCATTGAATAGCTCTGTAGGTTTTAGCGGTAATGGATCTTTATCGAAGTGCAGCGCCCTATCCTCAACGCCTGCACACTTGCTGGTTATTCCATATGCGGCCCCAAGGAATCTCGGTAACCCAAACGAACATGATGACTCAGGTTGAAATTGATGTGAACTCTGATTTCTATAGACGTCTAGCTAGTTGTATATATACTAGGGGAGGGAAGGGGGCCACCCCCAGGGTGGCGCGCTAGTAAGTTCAGATGAGCCCTGCACAGCTGAGGCTTCAGCTCGGTTCTCTACAGCTGAGATTTTAGCTGGGTTCTCTACAGCTGATGTTCGGAGAGTAGCTTTCTGGCATATGAGTTGTTGATCCTAGGTTGTAGTGCTGCAACCTGAGTTGATGAAAAGCCCCTGCTAGCTGTCCATGCATGATCCTATGCCTTCTTTCTTCCTCCGTAACATCGCCCATTTTCTCATCCATTGTAATTCTCCTTATGTTGTGTGACAGCACTGTAGACTCGGGCCGCATGCGATGCTGTTCGATGCATAGATTCGTGCCATTCTTCCAGTATGGGGGTCTGATCTCTTTGGCAGTGCGATACCACTGTTTCCACCAATATCAACTCAGCTTTCATTCATTCAGCTTCATTCTATGCTCTCTCTCAACCCCATTTTTCTTCTTCCGAATGTAAGGAGGAGGATACGGCGCTGTCACTAGTTGTAGATTCGATGTTGGCGTAGGAGGAGGCATCACACAGTATAAGGGACGCCGTGGCGAGAGCGGTTTCGAAATGCGGAGTGAAGCTGGAAGAGGGAGACACGATACCGGGTGCGAGTGTGGCAGAGCAATCTTCTGAAGTCAACCCATATCAGCAAATATCAACCTTAGTCTGAGAGGGGTACGAATCAAATCGTGGTAAATCGACTTTCATTAGATCGAAGCCTGAAGGAAATGTTGTGCTGGAGGCGGAGTAGGAGATGTTCGCGGGAGCCGTCATCCTTGTGCCTACCGCAAGTACGTGAGGCAGATCCAGAATAGGTTTTGGGCAGTCTTTAGAAAGTGGGACCTGAGGTCTGTGAGTTCGGAGCTGTATGTGGTCCGAGTATAGCCCTGAGTGTCTCACGCAGTCCATTGCCATTTATCTCATTCTTTCAAAGGCGAGATTTTCGTTTTGGCCTGTACAGCTTTCCCGGATCCCGAGTCGTCTTGCTCTCGATATTGCCTTCGCCGGAATGCCCAACGTCTGCTCTAAGCATGACTCCAAGTTATCAGTCATTGCCATATCTCACTTCAACCATGAGCACAACATGCCCTGGCGTTGCTGTGGTCACGAAATGCCAAGGCTCGCTTAAGAAATTCTCGACTACTTAAGCAGCCACGCGGGGCACAGAAAAGGTGGCACGCTAAAACAGGTTGTCTTCTTCCGCAACTCATTTAGCTGCCTTCAAATCAATTTGAAACCCTGAAGTTAGGCATATTGACAATTTCGAAGCAGGTGAGTGTTTCCATCTAAAAATAGTCTAAATGTATTTAGTTGTGTTGGCTGAGAATATCGATGAAGTGGCCGGACTTTTTAGGATTCGGCTGATTTTGGTGGTCTGGTGTACCACCTTTTTTGTGCCCCGCGTGGCAGCCCACACCTTCGAACCCTTTCTCCTTTTTCATACCGTGGTGTCGAGGGCAGGGGACGGCACCCAATTTTTGGAATTTGTTCTTTGGGACACAGTGTCGCTCGTATTGCACTATCTCTAGCTGGATGTGAACCTTTTTCATTGATCTACTCAGCTTGCCTGGGTCGTCGAAGAAGAAGAGATCTCTCTCAGCTTGTGACTGATGGCATGCTGTCAGGCTACGGCTGCGCATTACCCTCCTGGGCGAGGGGCTCAGCTTCATAGCTAATCCCTAGGTGAACATCTGATCGGGCCAGATGTTGGAACCTCCTCAGAGGGTCTGCCTTCTCGAGTTGTCCTTGCTTCAGGGTACTATTCTCTGCCGGGTCAACAGTCGCGCAAGTTTGTCCAAGGGCGTGGATGAGTGTCGTCAGAGCCGATGCTGATAGGCTTAGGCGATATTCGAGTGTCTCTGTTTGGGAGGCGGCATCGATATACTCGGCGGAGATGCAGGGTTCAGCCGCGGAGAAGAAGAGTGGTCACTCACGTACTTCACGAGAAAGAAGGGCGGCTGGGAGGTCGAGGACGCCCTTTGGGCGGGAGTCTCGGGAGTGTCACCTGTTGAACTGTGAGATAACATCGGGATACAGCAGAGGAGGATTTCGTGATTGAGCTCTCGAACCTAGCTAGCAATTGCGCGAGTTGGACGAGTTCATTGGGAGTTGGTAAGAATGGTAACATCTAGCTTGGGCATTCGGCGCTTGCGCCCTGATGTTACCGCGTCTACATTCTAGCTAGGAGTCTGACGGTTTCCATCTTCCTTCAACACCTTCTCAGCAAGGCACTCCACTTAGATGTAGTTTACACTAATATCTTGATAATCCGAATTATGCGCATATTTCGAGATAAGCTGTTAGAACATAAACATTATACTAGACTTAGAGAGCCTGAATCCTAAATCTTAGACCTCCGAAACCTAGCTGTGGTGCTACCGATCCTTTACAATGGTCTCCGCCAAAGGAGCATTTCGAATTGCAAAGGGCCATATTCATTTTGCTGATTTTGTTCTATTGCCTCGCACTCTCTCTTCAAGCTACCGCTTCAGAAAATTCAGCCGATGGATAAGGTGCGGCTATTTCAATGCTAGAATTAGGTACAGTACGATGTCATAGTTTTGGGGCATACAAAACTTTCACTATTCGGGCTCTATTCATGCTCGCCCGACGCCACTGTCGGAGATATCCTGGCCAGCAAGTCACTTAGTTAAACGACAGCCCTGTTGCCATTGCGCGAAACTTTTCATCCTCTCGGAATCTCGAGAAACCCGTCGGCATACCTTCCGCACAGGCGAAGAGTGCCTAAAGATAGGTCATATTACTGTAGGTATGGTAAGGTCGGGATATGGATGTGCTTAGTACTAGCGCGGATGGTGGGGGAAGGGGCTGTTCGAAAAGGAAGCTGTAGACGCATTGGGGAAAGCAATAGCACGACAAGGGAGGCAAAAGAGTCTATGAGCATGTTTGTCGTGACTCTGTCATCGTAAGATTAACTGAAGCGAAAGCACATTGGCCATATGAAGCGAGGCTATTCTTCGCTTAGAGCACTCATCTTCAAGCCAATCGCCGAACCTATCCAACCGCTTGTGCTCAACCTCATTGTCCTTCTCGCCGACCAATCCGGCCATCTTCTGAATGCAGTACACGGGGCCTATGCGTAGGCGCTCTCCCAGTACGGGTGGACCTTCTGCAGCAGTCCGGACTACCTTCTTGTCGCCGGTGGCGGCCCCACCGTTGGTGGGCAGGTCGGTCTGTTGGAGCTCGTCGTCAGAATAGTCGATGAGATCTTGCGCGTGAAGCATCTTGAAGGTTTGGTCGAGTCGGATACGATCGGATTCAATGGTGGCCGGATGTCGAACGGGCTGCGCGCTGAGGTTGGCGTCGGAAGACCGAGGGTGAAAGGCTACTCGACAACTATCAATTATAGCCTGTAGACCGGGAGCGAATACGTTACCTTGTTCGCACAGTAGTCACCGATATCCCGAAGAATTCCTCCGTCGTTCCTAGCTTCGTCGTGTCCGCTGTGTACGCCATCTAGCATTCCGAAGACCCAAGTCTGTAGCTACCTGCTCGCTTGCTGTTGGAGCCATCTTTTACTTCTTTGGTACGCGTGCCACTCTTGTCGAATGCTGCGATGGGGGCTTCTGCGGAGCGTACGCACTCGGATTGTCTAGGATATCAGGGCACTCGGCGTCAAAGTCCCTCGAACTTCGTAGCGCCGTCGGAAGGACTATGGTTGTCGGTCATTTCGGTGTCCTCATTCATGGACACGTCGGCAGTTGAGACATCTGCGACGTCCACCTGCGTGTCCTCTGCGCGAGGGAGCCATACTGCCCAAACGAGCCCTACGCAGTACAGGTGGAGTTTTCCATTCGAAGAAGCAAGCATTACCGCTCAAATGAAGAGCTTTCCTGCGGTGGCGTTGAAACCAATGTGCTTCTAGCGTCCAGCTGTACAGTTGCCATGGAAAACGACTTTATCCTGATTCAGCGCCTTCAAATGGTACAGATGATTACAGACTTGCGGAGTTGCATGGCGATGTTAAGTAGACACGTCTTCGACTCTTTCTTCCCACCGACTCCGTTCAAATCATCGATATCGTTCTCAGGCATCACTTGACTTGCATTTTTTGACATGCCGATATAAAGATTGGCCTCTTTCTTTGGCAATAGTGACTTCTCGACATCGCTCTCGACCCGACGGAGTAAGAAGAGCCGGAGCACGTCAAGAGGCTATCGCAAAACGGTATCGGAATCCCCATCTTGTCTCATCAAGCCCTCAAACGTACTAATACGGGACAGTCATGGATTTTTGCAGTCGAACACCGAAAAGGAATCACAACGCTTCGGGATTGTGCGCCAGCAGTATTCTCACAATGAAACCTAACAACAGTTAGCGCATCTGCTGTGACACGTCACACGATTCGAGGGGGCAGCTCGAATTACTTAGAAGGGACTGGAGAGGGACATTGTCTTGACTAGTCGAAAGGGACATTATCTTGGGCCTGGCGGCAGTGGCGTTTGATTCCAAGGTAGATCGAGGGGTAGCAGCTTGCGACGAGGGCTATAAGGTGGTGTCTATGCCCAGAGGCAGCACCGGCAGAGATGAAACAGGTAACCCGGCTCCAATTTCGGCTTTGATGGATGAGCCCGTGCCGTACTGGTCGTCCTTGACATGGCCATTGCTCTCTGGCTTCACGTCGTCGTCGGCGTCAGGATCAGACTTGCCGGCATGGCTGACGATCCCGCCAATGGCCTTGGCGGAAGCAATGCGCGTCTCCCAGTTCCGACTCTTGAGGTACGAGACAACGCGTGTAAGTAAGTGGAAGAGCTCCTCATGACGCTGCTTCCGGAGGTCGGCGAGCTGGTCGGCAGCGGTGTTGCTGATCAGCACAATACTGCCAGTTTTGGCCTGTGGAGACCGAAATCGTTTACAAAACTGGTTGGAGGATATATAGGGAGGCCAGAGTATCTGGTGGGCAGCCACAATGCCGCTGATCCGCCAATCATCCCGGTGGAAGGCATTTGTCCTGAGCTGGCGATCATGCCAGGTTCTTTGCCGTTCCGGACCTGAGATTGCATACGGCCTGTTGCCTTGGAAAGTTCAGTATAACTGCCGTTCAAATAGTCCCGTGGGTACTGGAATGGGGACCTACTGCAGGACAGCCTCTCCGCCCTTCTGTCAACAGCCTCCCCATAGCACCCATCCAGCCTCCATCGACAGATGTCTACAGAGGATTGGCAGCCAGCGCCGGACCGTGGCGCTGGTCGAAGATCAGAAGTGTTAACTCGGAAGTGTGGGTCCAACACAAGGAAGGCTCCCATACTCCAAGAGTACCCAAACAGATCAAAATCTGGAGCACGTTGTATGAGAGCAGCGTATAGAGAATGACGAGGTTGAGTTGTTGCTGTTGGATCTCAAGGACAGAGCAGTGATTGTGGAACCGCGGTACTTCACTAGTGTCTTGGCACGCACGTGACTTATCAGTAGTGATCAATACCGGGCCGAATTTGTAGCCGGAGGCAAAAGAACACGCGGCAAACTCCCGCGCATATATTGTGTGCTCTAGTTTGTATGTTCATACGCCATCCCTGCAGATCCTTTGTGCCTGCAGTCCCACAGGCGGCTCAGGTCTCCTCATCTGTAGTCAAAGCACTGAAAGAACGCCTCCAAATCATGTGACTGGGCCGCAATTAGGGGATATCAGTATGTAACAGATATACAGTCGATCGACAGGCTTAAGAAAATAACATCATGAAAAATCGAAAGGTAGATAGGCAGGAGAGTCCTCACAGGTTTAATTACCCCCAGAAAAGCGGTTTTTCGATATACACCTCTGCGGAAATGACTTTCCAGATTCGGAAAGATAACTAGGTCCGAAAGACCATAGATCTTTACCTGCAATGCAAAAACAACAGTCCTACTCGTTCAAATGATGATATAGCGCCATGAAAGCGATGAATCGGGTCCTCGAGGATTAGCCTCCAATCTGCAGCCCCCGGAAATGACATCAAAGATTTGAAAACATGAATTGGTCTGAGAGGCCATAGGGGATTACCTGTGTTATCAAAGCAACAGTTCTACACTTTTATATAATGATGTAGCGCTATGGAGATACGAAACAAGGTTCTCGAGGAGTGGCCTCCAATCGGCAACCCTAGGAAACGACTTCCTACTTATTCTAGGATAATAGTACCACCGCCGTGATGCTCCACGTCATGAGATAGGGCTCTGATGCTGTTCTATGTCTTGGGGCGTAAATATCTGTTCACTGACGGATGATGATAACCACCAGAAAAGAGCGCACGGATGCCCACACACCATTTTGATCAGCCTGTGACGGTAAACTCTGCGTCCGCAAACTTCAAACCCCCACATCCTCGACGGTCAAGCTCCCATTGACTCGTCACCCTCTCCGCGGCTTCAATCCTCGACCGGCAAGCTTCACTCCTTCCAGTTTCGCATCCTCCTTTGGCAAGCTCTGAATCTCCTTCGTCAGTGTATGCAAGCTCTTCGTTCTTGGTTAGCATTGCAGCGTTCCTCAACTCATCTCCGCGCCTTCGACCATCAAGATTTGAAGCTCCGCCGTTTGTGTAACTTCAGCTTCCTTCACGAGCCTCGTATCATTGACCAGCGAGCCTTGAATCTCCTCCGTCTTCAGACGGAAGCTTCTGATACTCCACCAACCTTTGCGCGCCTCGCAATCTCAACATCACCCGCCGAAATCAGAGACCAACAGCGAAGAATGGACTATCTATCAGAATCTACGGAAGCTGGCCCGTCTGCAGCCGCCCCTGCACCTCGGGCTTTGAGATCAAACTGGTGCCGAGATGTAGACGTCCACCGGAAAGACTCCGCGAAGCTTGAGGGTGCCACATTCATCCCTCTCGATCAGATCTCCATCATTTCGGTCCACGAGCCTAACGCTCCCCCTGCCCAAGCGATAGCGACGACACGCCTCACAATCTACAACACCGGCAGCCTTCATCAGCGGAACTTCGGGCACGGCATCATTGTGGACAAGAGAGGGGAGATCATCGGATGCTGGCGCAAAGAGCAGCTCGCTAGCCCAGAACCGAAGGGAAAATGGCGTGCAGACCCCACCCAGTATCAGCCCCGAGAGGTCGCACTTCACAATGCCCTCCAAAACCCCTACGGCTTCTCCATCCGCGTCGACATTCTCGCGAGCAATGGTCCAACATACAACGGACCGCAGGCCAGAGAGGCTAGGAGCCAACGCCTGCTGAGACCTCGCGCCAGCGGATCCGGCGCAGCCCTACCCTCCTCCTGGCAGAACGACCCGATCACACAGGCCGTGCTGCAGCATGTCAACGTGGCGACCCAGACGAGGGCTGATAAACTGCGAGAGATGTTCGACATGGAGCCCCCTCTGCCCCTCCTTCTGCCCGCCCACAGCAACACCTCCAGTCCTCTCTCCTCCCCCCCAGCCTCCGACGCCGAAGAAGACGCCCTAGATACCGACGACGAGCAGCCAGAATGGGTGCTTATGAGCGAACTTCTCCCAACCCTGAAGGAAGGCGACGTCTGGTCACGTGCACAAATGACGATGATTGCACGACACCGCGCGGGCCTAAAGGATGACAAAGCCATAACTTTCCCCCACATTGACGACGTAGACTTCACGCAGGCGTACTGGAGACGGGCGGTGAACATGTGGTACACCCAGAACCTGCGCCGCCTGGGCAGCTCGCGGAGGAAGCCCCACGAGCTGTGGCAAGAAGACGAGAAAGCGTGGGTGCGCGCCCACATCAACGCCTTAGTTCGCCAAAAGGTTGCAGATGGGGGTAGGCTGGATACAGCGTTCAAGAGGCTTGGGTGGGAAGGCGTTGCGGTCGCTTTTGCCGCACAATTCCCGGACCGGACGGTACGCACTGCTGCGGGCCTGCTTGGGATGTTTACCCGTAGGCGGTACGCCGAGGAGATTCGGGCGGAAATGGAGGAAGAAGAGGTGGAAAAGGGGGCCAGTAAGAGTGCGAAGGGGGAGTAGAGTCGGGGGTTCTGGTGGTAGTTGGAGTTGATGCGCCCATAATGGGCATACCCTTTGGCTTTCTTTTGTCTTGTATAGTAGTTTCTTTTGGCCGTAATGATGCAAGTTCTCTCCATATCGCTTAGGCTATCTGCCCATATTACATGAATACCTTGACTCGTTGTGCTCCTTATACTACTTGTTGGAATAGAACTCCTGTGGCCGTTTCTGTTCCTTCTTCTCGTTCTTTTATCTGTAAGCTACACGTTCTTCTTTGCCTCTTTATTTCGGTCTACATCCTTCTGAGTTTGCTCACGTGATACCGCCGTATAAGGTGCTTCAGCATACGATGAATTTCCAAACAGGATGTTCCACTCAACCCTCTTCAAATCATACTGCCGCTGATAGGAGCACTTTTCTATTGTTTCAGCAGTGTCAAATGCACTTTAGCATGCCATAAATAATTGACATGAATGTACCTTCTAGGATTGTTCAAATCTTCTCGCAGCTTAATATCATGCTTTTCCAGCTTCACAGCAGCGTCACAAGTCCTCCGCCCTAAGCTGAAGATTTAAGGAGGATGTAACGTTCTTTAGACTTTATATTAGACTACGATTGAAATTACCCCTTTTCCAGCTCTACCGCTGCGTCGCGAGTCCTCCACCATATCGTAACCTTTTAGGACAGATGTCACGTCCTCCGGATCTCAGATCGGACTACGGGTAGTACTCTCCTATTTCCAGCTTAATAGCAGCGTCGCGAGTCCCCCAGCGTACTATAAATTTCTGCAGAAGATGTAAAGCTAATAACACTACATATTAAAATGTAGCTAAAACTATGCTTTTTCCACCTTTAAGACGGTGGAAGGAGCGCCTCAAAGTGCTTTCGAAAGAGTAAATAGGATGTAAGAAATGCCACTCCGAGAATCAGACACGCCTTTGAACTCCAATTTTTCCAGGGCTATACCGGCGTTAGGGGTCTCTTAGCATGCAATCACGATCCTAAATAGGACGTTGAAAACATCACCCTCCAGATTAGATATTCGCTAGATCTGTCACTTTTCCACCTCTGTACCGCCGCCAGTAGTCCCCTAGCAGACGATAAAAACGCTGAACAGGATGTAAAAACTGTCGGGGCCGGAATTAGGTTGACGTCTGTTCAGTAGAGGACAGTATGCTGTCGAGCGTCTAGTCGCTATCAAATTACGCAAACAGCTCGATAAATCAAGCAGGATCGGATGGTGCTTCCAAGCAGATTCGAGGGACACGTGCAAATTTCGTCAACTGATCTACTGGGTGTCGAAGTTGGATATAAGTCTCGATAGTTTTGCTGCGGGTGATCTAGATGCTGTCGAATGTCAGGGGTCTATGAATGATATCACAATGAAAAAATATATATCTTCAGTCATGTATGATCCTCCCAAGGATACAGCTTTATAGATCTGATAGGCGTCGATTCCGTGTCTTGTGTACGCGTTCGGTTTAGTTAGTGAATAACCACTTGTGTCGCCTATGGTAGATCATTCACCATGCAGAAAGTATCGGCGCTACTTCCGGCGCATTACCACACTTCTAGTGCATCTGCCATCCCCGAGTTCCAATCACCCACATCCTCCTGCACCCACAAAACGCATCTCAACACCTTCATTGAGAAGTTTTTGGTAATACCATTTTGTTCATAAAACCCCTTCAAGCAGAAATCCATGCACAATGGAACAACAGACCATAGCCGCACGCCTGCGCAAGCGAAAGGCCCAAGATGATCTGCCGGTCAATCCTCCACAGCGACAGAACAATGCGACAGCATCGCCGAAGGCGAAAGGCAGCAAGAGGGTTAAAGTTGGCAATGCTGGATCAGTTCAACTCCTGGTACGTATACAATTCCCTTGGATTGACAGGAAAGAGAAAGCTAACCACAACGCGCAGAACCCGGCGTGCGCCGCTCAGGGTGCGCGTATCGAAGCGATTAGTCTCGCGATCTCCGACACCCTCGCGCGAAGCCATAACATCACTAGCAATGGGGGTCAAGATCAGTGCTTAGAGGACGCTGCTGTCGCCCCCACCGACCCTATCACGCTTGATCGAAGGAGCGTTACTACTATTACCACCAAGCCTCCAAAGGTAGCCGCAAACGCAACCAAAGGAACTGTAGCTGCGCCGAAGAAAGCAGAGCCAGAAGGCTCCAAGGAGGATCAGAAGGGAGCATCTCCTAATGATAGCGCAAACACCGTTCAAACAAACCGTCGCCCACAACGTCAGCGGAAGCCCACCGTTCAAGCACAACAAAATGACCAAATGGAAGACCTCATCACCCCGGAAAGTCGCGACGAGCGGAGATTGGCCCGATGGGCGGCGGAAGCGGCAGGTGTACCGACTGAACTCCCGCAGGACATTCAGCATGCTATACAGCAAGAGGCGGCGAGGAATGATCTCGATGCTCAGCGTCCTCAGGATGCTGCGACGACTCGTCTCGCAGTAGCGCATGCGACAGCTGTAAGTGTCCTTTCTCTACATGGCTCTTCGATACTTTTATCTAACATTCACCAGCTCCAGAGCGTCCGCGCGACAGCAGAAGATGTGGACTTCCTTCCCCAACCCAATCAGAAATGGCCACAACTGACTATCGCCGCGCCGGATGGGCCACAGCCCATTGTTCTACCAAATCATCCAGACGGTTATTCTGTCGCTCTGAGATATGCCATGCAGATGGGAAAGGAACTCCAAGAGGCCAACGCGATCGGCAACCATTTCGAGAAGGACTGGACCGTCGGACGCTACCTGGAAAACGTCACCTTCATCGAGCATGCGCACATATGGATTCCGGGGTCGGGAGAAGGCCTCACCCGACCGATCGATCTTCTGCTTGGGCTTAGTGACCACAACACCAAGATGACCGTCGTCAATGACGGCCGTCTCCAGCGTGGCGGTCTGGGAGACGGCGTCATGGCCGATGCGAACGGCCAACTTGTTGGCACATGGAAGTATCGTCCTCTGACCACAACGTACAAGCCATGTGAAGCTTGTCAAAACCTGTACAGGAAGAACAAGCAATTTGAGAAGGGCGACCCTCGAATAGTCAAGCGATGCCACTTCGCTTGCCAGTATCACGAAAACCCAAGGCAGGACCTGGTCGTACACAGCGGCAGGTATCGTGCCGTGTCTTTTCATGACGTTCTTAAGCTGCCCAAGCGAATGGTCATATCTCCAGACGACTTGCGCGAGCTTGGGACTAAGTACAATCACACCGAGGCAGTACTGAACGGACGTGCGGCAGAGGACATCAAGAAGAATGCGCGTTCGCGAAAGACAGATATTGCGGATCCTGACCCTCGAGTGCTCACAGATGGAGATCCAGTGCAAGACGAGCAGGAATTCATCTGGATCAAGATACACTGCTGTGAAAAGATGATCCCACTTCTTCAGCGTGTGAAAAATCAAATTGACCGAACAGCGCCTGAGAAGCGACGTTTCATGGTCATTCCCGCAAATTTCGCTGGGACTAGCGAGGCTCTGCCTAGGATGGCTATCCGCGACGTGTACGGCAAAGCCTCTGGGGACGAACTGATGATCGAAATCCAACGACAGCCTATATTGATGATACCGATCGTTCTTGAGGGTCTGCACAAAAAGCTAGAGGGTCTTAAAAAGAGGATCCAGGAGCTGCAGCCCGATTGGATCGAGGAGCGTCAGGATCACCTGGACCGCCTGGAGAGCGAGTTTACCAAGCAACATGAAGAGGCTTTGAAGACGAGGAAACGTGACAATGCAACTATTGCGGGAGAGAGGCGTCGCTTCACCACTCAACAGGCCGCATATGAAGCCCGCATGCTTGCACAGGTCCGGATCATCGAAGAGAGTGTCAGAGTTCATAAAAAACGCGTAGGGTATGATGATCCTCTGCCAATGTCGCTGCCCCCTCAGACCCACAACCAAAGCGGACCTCGATTTGTTGATAAAAAGGTGCCATCATCCTTGGATCAGTTCACGGAGTCTTACGACCGGCGAACGTCGTTTCCTCAGACACAAAACCAAAGCGATCCTCGCTATGTGGACGACAGGTTGGCCCACGGCTCGAAACACTTCACCGCGTCCTACAACCGAGCGGTTATGAGTGTCTACGAATGCCGTTTACCCTGTACCATTCCTGGGTGGCTATAATCCTGCCGACCTTCTGAAGAGCGTACACTATCAGCTATCGGAGGAAGAGGAGCGCATTCAGGAGACACAGGCCACGCTTGCTATTGAAGATGCCAACACTCTGGGTAAAATCGCACTGGGTCATGCCGGTGCAAGTCAGAAATCCTACGCAGAGCGGTTCTCCGATATGTTCAAACATCTGTACCCATTCGAGGAGCTACCTAATACCTTGCCTACGGGCCCACATAATAAGAACTTTTGTACCTTGGAAGACAGTTCCTTTTCTACGCGGATCCCTGAAGTCCGAGCGGACAATCCAACCACGCCCGCTGCTGAGACTGTTACCCTGCCACCAGCTGGTGGTCCGTTGGCTAGCAACGCTGAAGGGTCTTCTGAAGAGATTGAGGCTGCTGTTGAAGCAGTGGAGTCCACTGACCAGAACGCAGAAACTGGTGGACCCGACCTCGATATCCAGTACTCTTCGAACGTGCTCACAGAGGGTACAAGCAATGGACTCGGCAGGAACCTTCGCAAGAGGAAGAGGGACTCATTCCTCGAAGGAGTCGACGAAGAGTCCGATTCACCAAACAACCGAACGAATGACAACGATAGTAGTCATGAATCAAACGTCGGCCAAGATGACACACGAAATGAAAAAGGCGTTGGAAGGGCACTCAGGCCCCGTGGAGTTAAGATTGCCCAGGCACCAGCCCACAAGAAAGCCCGGATGGACACCTCATCCTTCCAAGCAGGCCCTGCCGGTGATGCGAAAGACGTCTCCCAAGCACTGGAAGACAACTCGGTCGGCGCAGCAAGCGCCTCAAAACAGGTAATCCCCAAAGTCGAAGGCGATGAAGACGAGAAAGTCTCAGATGAGGATAAGAAGAACTGGGAGGTACTAGACGCCGACGATCCCGCCTACGAGCGAGACCAACCAAGGGAGATAGTTGTCCGCCGGAGGCATAAGATCACCCAGGAAGTGGTGGTATGGCGATACAAGCACGCAGATCAAGTGGATTGGTCCGACCAGAATTGGATCACCTTTATCAACGGATGGCGACGCCAATACATCCGTCGTTGTGGTGGCAGCCACATCGTTGGCTATGACCGCCGTCCGTGGACTCAGGAGGAACTGGATTGGATCGAGGCGGAGATCCGAAAGGAGGTTCGAAATAGGGCTGGGGGCGAAGAGGCATTCAGGTCTCGTCCTGGCTGGGCAGCAATGTTTAGGCGCTTCCAGGCGAAATTTGGAGAGAAGACGCGCACGTCAGCGGGGTTCAACACGAAGTGCACCCGCTTCATGAAGGAGTTTAAGAATGATGGCGGCGAGAACGAGCAGGATGCTCAAAGAGAGACTGACAGCGCTGATCTCAGGGATCCTAACAACAACTCCGAGTCCACGAGTTTCGAGGGCGGCATTAGCACCGAAGATGCCACGAATGACGAGGATACTACTGCTCCTACTGAGCATACTATTCTTGTTGGGTCTGGAGCTAACACCGCTCCTACTCCCCCAATAATCACAGCTCGTCGAGATGGAGAGCGCTTTGTCTTCGTGATTCGGGAGTGGAGCTCTGCCGGTCGTATTGATAGTGAAAACGAGGGACAATCACTAAACAACGCCCACTTGAGAACAAACAACACTACTAGCAGAAAGCGAAAGCGCGTCGAGGACGCCAACGACAGCTCTGTCGCTCCAGAACATCGTCTTAAGAGATCAAAGACTGAGAACATCTCGGATCGAGACAAGGAGATGGAGGATCGGGGTGCTGGGGGTGAAGCGGGTAGAGAAAACATAGAGGAAGAGCCCTAAGGAGCGGTGCCGAGGCGGTTGGGGTAATGTATCTTTTCATGTCCAATGCTACAGCGGTATTCAACATGTGTATGTGGCATTGAGGAGAAAATTAAAACAGAGCACTAGATGTGCATAAATCATATGGCTGAAAGACGAATAGATCTACAGAGTAGAAAGTGATGACACACACGTGCAAGCTTTCGTGAGCTATCTATTTGAGGGCTAATCAATTGCCTCTTGTTCTATTTTATTACGCGATCTATGAAGATATTTATAGAAGGAATATCTATGTCTGTTTTCCCTCTTTCCACACCCAAGCTCGCGTTCTACTTGGAGAACCTACCTTTATTTAGGCTGGGGCCATATGAGTGTACAACGATTTGTTCTCATATTGTTTGAGCCATTAGTGTAGTTTGTAGCAACTTGTATGGGTCATCTTTGTAGAAGGGTATATAGATCAAGCATTGCTAAACGTCACAACTAAATCCTGCTGCTGCGATGCATACTCATTGGCCTACTGCTTCTTCGCGCATATGTTCCCTCCCTTAGGAATCTCTCTTCTTGTGCCCTTTCCTGCAAAGTACCTTCGACCGTGTGTTTCGTGATCACCCATCATTCCGCTAGCCAGGTAGGCTCGTCGGTTGAATCTAAGCTACGATCATTTTCCGCTCAAACACGAAGTGCAAATTGCCAAACTGCGAATTGCGTCCTTTTCGATCCCAAATATCGATAGCTGAGTACCAAGGACTTGTGCAAAGCAATCCAGTAACCTCTCAGTTATTTCTCCTGAACGTGATGCATAAACTAATATATTACACTCCTAGTTGCAAGTACAGCTATATAGAGCGTGGTTTCGCCACGTAGATAAGCGCAGTTGACTAGAAACCATAGTGTTTACGAGTCTGACTTGGCCGGTGAATGGGATCTAAACGTTTGTGGGAGAACATTCACCATGAAGAGGCCACCCGCGCTAGACGGCGTTATCCGTTCCCCGGTCTTCTTCTCGTATTTCTTAAATACCGGCAACACAGTCTCTTTCTCGGTTCTCAACACCTCTCCAGTGCCAATCCCTCGCACCGCAGCATCACACATTCGATCCGCATTGAAAAGCGCTTTAGTATCAACGTACTCTCCTATTTCTTTGCATCATTAGCTTCAATTCCCTTGAATTCTCCTTCGATACATCCCATCCGCCACCCTCCTCCACTTCGACTCTGGTCCACGCATTCCTTCGCGCATCATCTCCTCGACACCCGTTGCCCTATCTTCACCATGAGGGACGGTCTCCGAGAGAACCCGATGAAGCGCCAGCTCGAAGGGAACCTCCTCGAATTACTCAAGTCGACTGCAGATATTCCAGCGCCAGCGAATTCTGTTAGCAACATCCCCGCCGCAAAGCACAGGAGGAGTGGGCGCGAAAAGAAAGGACAACGCGCGACTGGAGCCACCAATACCACTACTTGACAAAGTTCCACTCAACAACATCCTGGCCAGGCCGGCCGCAGGGGACTCCGACCAGCTCCCTTTGCAAATTGGCGGAGGAGGGTGCTGTGGAGGAAGCAGTGTGTGTGGTCAGAGCATGACGGCCGATGACATTCGTCAGAGGAAGAATGGTCGTCTTCGAAATCAAAACAATCATGCTGTACTTCCAGCGCTGCTTAGTCCGGGCGAGCAGGAGGCACTGGCCAGGTACGGTGCAAAAGATGAAGCCGAGGCGGAGGAGAGTGTGGCAACATTGAGGTGCCAGCGAGATGTACGACTGGTAAGTAACTTTATGTCGATTGGAAGCTATACTGACTGTACTTAGGCTCTTGACCCGCTCGCCCCCTTTGCGCTTCATGCGCCACCAGCTCGTCAGGAACAAGACAACACAGCCCGAGACGGTCCAGATTATTCTATTCTTAAACAAAAGCCGGAAACAAGCAATCTTCGTGGTGAGTCCACTCTAACGGAGGGGCGCGCGCAGGGAAACCAAGTTCCTGCTTTCACGCCATCTCTTCCAGACTCTGATGCATCCCCGTCTAGGACTCCGATTGCGGCCCACATCACCATGCCGAACATCAGTCAAGAATCTGAGCTTCGTCGAAGACCAGATGAACTCCTAGATTGCGAGAATGTGGCAGCTGGCGTGGGAAGTTACTATACGTGCCCTCACTTCAACGAACTCGAGGAAAATCATAAGGAGCGAGAAAATGTTAGGATGGTCTCTCGCCACCACGGCCTCAAGATGCCTTTCGGTTGTCAGATTTCCAAAGATGCCGTGCGGAGATTTGGCGTGATCATAGATCATGCCAAAGCTATCAAAGCCAGCAAGAAGGGAAAAATGAAAATCACCAAAGTCGATCTTGAGAAAGAAGCGACAAGCTCGCTCCATAAGTACGACAAGCAACCAGTTCCGAATCAAATTGCCGCGTCCGGTTCCACGTAGGAGCCTCCGACGGAGGATATCTTTGTGGAAGTACCAAAAGACTCAGGTTGAAATTGATGTGAACTCTGTCTTATTTCGGGGGCCCGAAGGCCAAACTATATACTACGTAGGAAGTGACTGTATGCATAGGCAGAAGCACTAATTGGAGGCAGCAGTAGGCAGCATTAGGCAGGGTAGGCCACCGTACCCCAACCCCTCTCTGTAGAAGTTGTAACTGGCTAGGCATGTAGGCAGCTACTATGCCAGCAACTCCAAGTCTGTACGTAGGTGACCGTGAACCGTATGAGTTGTTGATCCTAGGTTGTAGCTGTTACAACCCGAGTAAAAGACCTCAGCACCCTCCTCCGACCCGACCCCATTGAGGAGCAAGGCGCCAACTTTGACTACCTCATTGAAAGCGTGAAACACTTGCAGAAGCTCTTGGTGCCTATTGATAAGGCGCTGAACGCCATGTCTGTTGAAGAGCGGCCGACTTTCATCATGCCACCACACCTTGGTCATCGCAGCTCAACTGTCCCGATGATGAGACTCCGCCGCTTGTTCAAGGATGTTAAAAAGGACAGTGTCTGCTCCGAGTTGTATGCTCGCCCGCATGTTGCAGTGCCGACGCTCCTTGAGTTCCTACGGGAAAAATTATCAAGCTTGCAGCAGAAGAAGGCAGAGCGCAAGGGAGAGTGGCGTACTAGCGAGCGTCAGTTCAGAAAACTTATGCAGAAGTGGATCGAATTCTACAACCGCCAGCTTGCAGCGTCGTTGGCCACTATTGGCGAGAGGGATGCATCATCTGACGATGACAACGTGCTCGCTGTCCCGAGCCCTTCTGAGCAGGCCGAGCAGGGTCAAGCTGCGGCTACTGCCCGCAGCTCCTCGGGAACAAGGCCGTGGCTCTAGACAAGGTGAATCTCAGACCATTCCAGGGGATGCTATGGACTTCGATGACATTGCCGACCGCATGGTTGCCCCAATACCAAGCATGATCACGGATGTGAGAGAAGAAGTTGGCTGTGAAACCAACAAAATCCAAACCCAAGAGGTCACCGGGCCAGCTAACGGATTCATCGATACCGACAGCGCGCCGAAGCCCCATGCCATGGAAGTCGATCCCTTTGACACTAGTTCCACTTCTATCGAACCTCATGCTGGTCCACGGCCTGCCTCAAGCACAGAAGTGATGAATGGCAAAGAAGCCGCACTTTTCAGCAATCTTGTGGCGACCAAGACGTCTGCTAAGAAGATGGGCAAAAGCAAGGCTCTAAAGGCTGCGAATAACAAGATCATTGACAATCGTGTCACCAAGCAAAAGCCAACTACTTCCGGAACGAACTTCCAGAGAGTTACGAGAGCTTCCGCTGCTGCGGGAATCGAGGTCCGTCACGTAGAGGGAATAGGAGTTGGCAACTCTGCCGTTACCAACGAAGAACCCGGCGAGCCCGTTGGAGATGGAGCAGAGGCTGAAGAGCCATTCGTTACTGAAGCAAATACTGTCGAACCACCGTTGATATCGCAGAGTCCGAGGAGTCTGTTGGCATCGACGTAGCTTTGAATAGTAGCGCTCTCGACGCTCCGCATCCACCAAATCCGCCAATGGAGGCCGTCGCCACTGAAGACGTGCCTAACCCTAGTGGAAGAGTCCTCCGGAAGAGGAAGAGGACTATCCTGTCACATGTGGACGGCGAAGGTGGCGAGAATCTCAACAATGATCACAAAGACAACCATTATCAGAACGCTGGCATCAATCCTTCAGACGATGAAGTCTATAATGAAGATGATGGCCAAGAGCGATCGGGAGTGAAGGTCAAGGCTTCCAGAAAGAAGGTCCAGCCTCGAAAGAAGGCAAAGACGAGTGTCCAGGCTATACAGCCAGCTGCGGACTCGACCGAACCTAATAGCTCTTCTGGTGTGAATACCGACCAACAGATCAATCGACACAGCCATCCAGCACTTGCTCAACCTTCGGCCACAGGAAACGCTCAGGGTACCGCCACGCCAAACGTACAGCAAGATATCAAAGTCGATGATACCGCGGACGACGACAAAAAATGGGAGATCATCACACCCGACGAAGGCCGCTATAAGCTCGACCAGGAGCGTTCCATGACGCTCCAGCGGCGCCACAAGATCTCTGGACTCGTCAAGTCGGCTACCTACGTAGACAGCGCGAGAAGAGGGAGGAGGGCCAGGCAGACAATGCAGAGGGCTGCGCTTATGATGGAGAGGAGAATAACGGCAACGCGGGAACCAACTCAGTCAAGGAGGAAATGGGTGACATGGCGCCAGCAAACGATGCGAGGACTGCCCCTTTCATTATCGCACGTCGAGAGGGTGATCGAGTGAAGCTCCGCATTACGGGCTTGAGGTCGCTCGTAAACTCCAATCAGGTCGAACAAGGAAATGGCGAAGGTTCTTCTGTCAGTCCTCGACCACAGCCCACCACTGCGAATTCCAGGGCTGAGCTTGTCGCTGGCAAGAAGCGTAGGAATATTGATCCTGATGACAGTTACGTTTCAGTTGGGCGACGGTCGAAGCGAGCGAAGACGGGGCCGGTGGAGCAAGATGACGATGAGGTGATGGAGATAGGACAGATGAGGCACATCCAGGTGGTGATGACGAGTACGAGGACGAGCTGTAAGAAGACGTGATGAGGGCTTTGGGAATACTGTTGATTTTGATCTTTTTTCATAAAATCTTGAATGTCTTAGGATAGTGTACGTAGAAGGAGTGGTAGTTGTACTGTTCACAATTAGCACAAAAAATATTTACAATAACTCCTATTACTTCACTGGCGACTTGTTGTTTGCTGTTACAATTTGAATCGCTTTGCAAAGACACCAAGTTCGACATCTTACCCCTCTAACCAAAGAACCTCTTCAGAAGGTCTCATAAAATGCCACATGAATTCGACAGATGACTACAATGAAGGGCAGAGAAACATAACACTTATATTGCACGCTTTTCGGGCGCAGAAAAACCTCTAAGACCCCAGAAAAGACAACCTCTTCCTCTCTCCCCAAGAAGTTCCTTTCCAGCAGCAGAAGCAAGTCTTAGATTCAAGGATGGGTATCAATCATCTCGGAAGACCGATAGAACAACAATTACCATCCCAGAATCCCTTTTTCCATAGGCAAGCAGCAAAGAAGCTCAGATGGCTCGGTTATCTCTCTCGCACTCTCTGACTCGATCTCGATCTCTCGCCCGCAGCAAGTAAAAACAACATCAACAACAAGAAGCCCATGATTACCATCGCGAAAGACCAGAAGATAAAAGGTGTCCGGACGGATTTAGAGACCAGTCACAAAGATGTCAAACCAAGCTCCCGCAGAACTCTTCCAAGGCCCCAAGCTCCCCGAGAACTTCTCAGATGCCACCAAATGGCCCAGATGGTTCCATTCCGCGTCGTCGCTGCGACAGGTAACTTGACTCCTCATGTTTCGACGCGTGCTCGAAATCCATTGGCCGACGGCAGGGGAATGTTGCTGTATCCGATAGCGGATGCGAAGGACGCGGGATTGACGGCCGACATCCAGATGCGGGTCTTGTACACCTTGAAGAGGTCCGTAACCAGCTTGTTGAAGTTGATGTATGCATCAGCGTAATAGTAGAAGGGCAACTTTTTGTAATCACTGCGAGAAAGTTAGGGAATGCTACGCGTGAGGAGATTAAGCAGACTTACAGCTCGTATTCTAGATCCAGAATCTCCATGTTGAGTCCGTACTCCGCAACTTTCGCGTGGCAGATGCGCTTCGCCTTTGCCTCGCTGCCTTCCTTTTCACTGCCTTCCTTTTCACTTCCTTCCTTCTCACTGCCTTCTTTTTCACTACAATAAAGTTGGTGAATACTACGCGCGAGGAGATTAAGTAGACTTACAGCTGGTATTCTGCATCCAGGATCTCCATATTCAGTCCGTGATTTGCAACCTTTGCCTGGCAGATACGCTTCGCCTTTGCCTCGCTGCCTTCCTTTTCACGAAGGACCTGAACCTCGTGAGTGGCCGCCACTCGGACCATGATTCTGGGCTTAAGCTCCATGTCCACTCCTCCGACATACTGCTGGGGAAGTGTGGTGCCGCCGGCGGTCATCTGCCCAAGAGCGGTGGCGAGGGGTTGGTGGGCAGTCGCAAGCATGCCATCAGGCCCAGGGTACAGGCTACCGTTGTTCATAGCGGTTCGTGAGAACATCTTATACCAACTGAAATGCGCTGTGGGCAACTTGCCCGTAGGGCCTGGCTCGACTGGGAAACCCAGACTGGCTGCGACGGAGGCCGGCTTGGTGGTGTCAGGCGCGCGGACTGAGGCAGCGGCTGCAGAGGCAGATGTCGAGGCCGGAGCAGCGGAGATGGTGATGTTGATGACGGAGGCGAGGCTGGTGGCGAGAGCGGTGACGAGTGCTTGAGAAGCGGGCTTTTGGAAGACAATTCGATGAAACAGAGTTGTCTTGTGCTGTCGCGCTGTGGTGGTTGAGGAGAGGAAGAGCGAGGTTTTGAAAATCTTCGAATAAAGTGCGTGCCAAGATCACACCACCCCGCCCTCACTTCTCTCAATTACATCATAGGGGGCTAGGGACTCATGTTTCACACGATGGATGCTTTTCAACGGCTATAAAGACCTCCATAGCACGTGTTATAGCTTTTGGCTTGCCTGATTGAGAACTGTCTCGCTCCTCGCCCTAGATCGCCTGTGACGGACTTCACTGCTGATACAGCTCCTGCATGAACGTAGCCTCTCAAAACGGTGCAGCAGCCCTTCAGCATGCTTTCAAAACGATCTCATTTTGAGAGGTCGGCGTTCTATATAAGCTACATTACTGTGAGCTTGGATATCAGTTAGATCCCTATGATAGAGGAACGTCATTTGATGGCTCAGGGGGGCTTAAAATGTCCAAGGCATACGCAAGTCTTCAAAGACGGGTAGGAAAATCAGATTCTCGAGCCTCAGCCATGATAGCAATGCCCTGTGTGGAGAACCTCTCCTAAAAGAGTGACGAAAGTGACTATACCAAATCAGGTCTAGTCGTCACGTGCCGTCCTGCGTAGCCCACAAAATCCGCGACGCGCCTACAATTTTTCTCCCCAGACCTCTCACACTCAACCGCAGCGTCAAGTCTCCACCCACCTCGCACGCCCTCAAATTCTACATTCACAGCAAGTCAGACCATGGACGGCCCCCCCTTCGTCGACGACGGTGTCGCCGCCCGTCGCGCGCCCGCCTTCACCCGTGCCGAGAAGAAGATCTTCTTCGGCGGCATTGTGGTCTCCGGCGTCGCGGGTCTGTTTTTTCTCTGCGTTTGTAAGTGTTTCTACTTTCTGCACAATCTCAATCGCCTCCAAGCTAACAACGACCCACAGACTTGGCCAGTTGCATGCGGTCGCATGACTGCATCTGGGACCGCCGCGGCGGCCACTGAGGTTCGTAAGACATCAGCCAGCCTGCTCTGACGCATACAAACTGCTAACAGAGCCAGCTAGCCACAGAAGGACGAAGTCTACCTCAAGACTCGTGCTGGACTTCGTCCCCGAGACCGTCTACCGCGCCTCCCAATATTTCAACAAGCGGAAGATCTGTAATGCCCATTCTCGAGTCAAGCTCTACATCTTCCGGTTTTCCCGCTCCCTCGCGTACATCCACTCACAAGTGTGCGCCCTCGAGACTGTCTACCGCGCCTCCCGATGACTCGTTCTCAACAAGCTGAAGACTGTATGGGGATTCTCGAAGTCACGCTTTACATCTACTAGCTGTGTCGCTCGCTCGCGTACATCCACTCACAGGTGCTGGGGGGTGGCGATGCAGAGGAGCCACTCGAACCACTTCCGGAGACAGCCAGCGACGAGGCTCAGGAGCCCATCGGACCCATACCAAAGACACCCCGGCTCACCGCCGCACGCCTGCACTACCCTGTTCCTTCAGCCCCCGGCCCCTTTGTGGTCGCTTTGCCCGAGCTGTACCGGATGAGTGACGCGGATTTCGATAACATGGACGTCAACAATATCGGCTTGGGTCTTATCTATCAGCAACTCGAGATGGACAACCTCATTGCCCGCTTCAATAGCAGCGTTATTGTCCTTCGCCATCCCCTTCCTTAAGCCTTGTTCGGTGTTCCTATCGGTGGCGGCGTCTGGGTTTCTACCAGCAATGCGGGCCGGCACTTGCAACCATATGTTTTGGATTTCGTTTTGTTTCGGAAGAATGGAAAAGATCTGAGGATCGTTGTTGCTCCCATCGCTCAACTACCGTGCGCTGCATATGATGTAATATGTGATGAGGATGTGATGCTGTGCTGCTGCTGTTTCAGGTCCATCGATTGCACTTCCGCTTTCTAGGGCTAATACATAGATCTTGAACGCTGAACCTGACCGGAGTGTCTCGTACGAGCCAATTAGTTGGTATTGGAGTTGGGCAGCTTCAAATGGCAGCATTCGATGATCAAGATAAGTCGTCAGATTTGAGTTTGGCTCGGTCGACGAACCATGGTTGACTTCTGCTCTTCGTCAACCTAATCCAAACCTCCAGCAACACTGCGACTTGGAAAGGAATAGCAATAGTATTGATATCTTGTAATCTACGTTGGTCGCCCTAGGCCCATTTAAGAAAACAATGTCACCACCCCAAGAGATAGAGTCCCTCAATCCGATAGCCATCATCGCCATCCTCCTGTGAGCGAGTTTCCGATCAACTGGAATCATGAACGTCTAGCGTCCTAGATAATGCTTCCTTGAAGGAGTAGCTGCTTCTTCGCTATTGAGCTGTTGTTGAGACAGCTGAGTCCAGCTTTGGGCGGTGGCCGTCAGTTGCGCGAGGCAGAGTGGATACTGATAGATTCACGTGACGTAACTTGGTGAGGTATTTCAAGATTCCTACCTATTCAAACATGCAAAAGAGAGAAGATATGTTGTAAGCGCTGAGGCCTCATAATGTAATGATTCGTAGTGGTGTTGGCTAAGGTCGCCACGCGTCGCGAACAAAAACTCCAAAAGGCCGCTTGTGAGCGTTAATAGCAGGCAAATGTGACGGAGCAGCATCTAGTGTGTTTGGCAGGATAGATGTTACCGCATAATCTTCGGCAAGTGTGCAAACGCTCGTGTGGTTGTGCACTGATCTTCATTTTTCAGTGTATATATTTCATAAAATTTCAACGTCCTCCGCCTTCGGGCATTTGGTCACATCGTAACAACACAGAGAAGATTAGCATGGCCCCTGCACTAAGGATGACACGCTTTATCAAAGTGAGCTTACGCATTTTTTTTTTGGAGTTCGATTCGCGTGGTGGGTGAATCTTTTTGCGCAGTGACTCCTTTTTGCTTCACCTTTTTATTTCATTACTATTTTTTAGCCATGTAGTTTGCAGTCACATAAACAACAATAGATGGCCATCTAGGCGCAGGTTTGAAGGTCAATATACTTTTTTTTCTGAAAGAGACTATCGAAGTGTTCCACTCAAGCAAATGTTGCGACAGACGCCTGTCCCGCGCCCCCTGTGCAAAGAGAACACTCTCACATGCTTCCATGCGCATCTGATGCTATTGTAAATTCACAATCTCTGCTAGTAACATATTTTGCGATCTTCCTTGACTCGACGCTCAAGCAGGCTCAGCGGCGATCAGTCGGACGCCATGCTAGGCCGGCTTGTCCCGATTGACATCGCATCAAGCTCCGCATTCTTCATCGGTAGCAGACAGCGCGCCGGTGTGAAGCGACCTTGAGAGATTCGAAGATAAGCCTTATCTCCCTCTCAATGGTGACCATCTCGCCATTGTGTGAGAGATCATGGCACCGCCGCTACTTCTCATCCCACCTCCCTTTCGCTTGAACTGTCTGTCGACGTCTAAGAAGGCAAAGTCAGAGCAATGAAGCACGCAAGTTTACATTCGTGGCCCGGTTAAGGTCCCAAAGCGGCTTCTCGTGAATTCACTTAATGGGATTATAGATTTTACGGAAGATCGTTTTGAAGTAATCGCTATGCCCACTTGCACTTCAGTAATATCTTTACGTCATTCCGTTTCTAATTGACAAATGACCGCTGTGGTATCTTTACATGGATTCGGCTGTTCCGCCTTTTTTATTCCCTCGTCCAGATTCCTCCATCGGACGCCCAGCTCACTGCGAGCCGGCACGGCATTCACATGCTTTCCAAAAAGGCCCCGACCAATTCCATCTTAGATCAACGCTGCGATCGCCGCTCTCGTAAGGGTGGAACTTGTCCTAGGCTAGTGGGCATGGTCTGGGCTTCCGCTGGAAGCTTGTGCGAGATGCGGAAGTACAGTACTTTGAGACCATCTCGCGGACTTTCTGCTTCTCTTGCTTGACCCACCGCTTGGCCCAAGACCTCTCAAGCGAGCGGGACTTCCTGTTTTGATGCATATACGTCTGAGAAGCCCACTTTCTAGCTATGGAGCTTGGCTAACTTCGTGCTCTCCTTCCTAAGCTTAGCACAGAAGTGCCAGACCTTGGATTCCAAAACAGCGAAGTCGAGTAGATGCTTGACAGACTCTATAGTCCCAAGAGTCTGGCCCAGGCCTGTGGGTAGATCATTGTACGACAGTCCAGTTTTTCGTCTCCTCTACGCCGATCTCAATATGGCTGGCCTCCTGTAAGCCAACCCTGCATCTCATGTGAATTGGATATCGCTACGCTTACGCATAAAGTTCAGTGTTCCCAAACTCCGTGGCTATCATCTGTGCCTATGCTTTTCGTGATGTCGTGTGGTAGAGTGGGCAGGCAGGATAGTCGACAAACCAGCTGACTCGCTCCTGGTCTAGACCACTGACAAGCCCCCACGGTAGCTGGTGACCCTCTTTTCTGCCAAAGACCTGCCGCAAGACCTCCTTCTTGCTTGCACCAGTGGCCACGAACCCGATCTTGATACCGTGTCCTGCAACGGGAGGAACCCGTACTCGGAAGCCGACCAAACTCGGTGTTTCTCCCTTGACCTAAGCAGGTTTATCCCGCTAGTAGCGCAGCTAGTCGAGTATGGATCGATTTCGAGGTGTCGGCTCAACAGGACGGTGGTCGGACTCGAGAGGAGAAGAATTGGGACGCAGGATGTCGCCCGGGCGAGTCATCCGGAGGCGAAAGAACAACCGTCATAGCGAAGACTGAAAGTAGGACTGAAGTCGCTGTCAGGCTGACCATGACCAGAAACCCATCGAGAGTAGCAAAGACGCGGACGTCGGACTCGGAAGTGATGGCCTTCATGAACCAACGGACTTGGAAAATGTTAGCAACGCATCAATTGCAACTCTTCTGGTACCTACAGTGAAAGAACCTTGCGCAGGGTCGGCTTACAAACTCTCCCCTCTTCGTTGTAGAACTTGGCGGACGTTTGCTTGCCCTGGAAGGCACCCGCTTTGGTAGGATATGCTCCATGATTCGAGAGGACTCGGTCGGTCCAGTCGATGCGTCGAATACCTGCTGAGAGGCGGCGAAATTCTGGAATCGTGCTCCAGGCAGACATTACCAAGCGTGAGACCGACAGGCGGAGAAGTGAAATGAGAATATTCATGACGTGAAGCCATAGTGTTGACACCGCCGGTAAAGCAAGGTTTCTGTAGTACTCGTACTCAATTTCCGCGTGAGCGCTGCGGAGAAATGTGGTGTTGATCGAGATTGGAGAGAAACCCACATCTTACATCCGCCACCATTTCGCCCACCAGGCCGTCCACTCCTCCTACACTGCACTATAATGACCGCCGCTGCGCTTCTCGCGGCTCTAACTGAAGCTCCTCACTTCTCGAAAGGGGAGGCTTACTACTCTCCTCTCAGCGCTCGCCCGACGTCTGAGGTTGGCCTGGCTCGGTTTGTCCCTCCTCATCCAGATGCTGCCATTCTACCAGAAGATGAGGCCTAGACGCAATCTAGTCTCAGCCTGCCTTTTATCAACAACCCTCCGGGGTATGTCTAAGGAACTATGATGCGATGTCCCTTACTGACTTGAGCAAATAGGTCCTGAAACCCAACGGCGAACCCCCTAAGCCTCACTCGCCCCTCTCCAGTCCACAAGCGATACTGTACCTCTACCGAACGCGGCATGTGGTTGGCCCAGGAAACGACTACAGCGGCATTCGCATCATACTTGTGGTCCTTGAGAGGGTAATTTTGGCTGATGGATGGCGAGGCTTCCGCTGCAGATACACCACGCGTGGCACGGAACAAAGGAGGAGGAAAAGCTGAACCTGTTATACTTAATGCAGAAGACTAGGATATATGTAAGAAGGAGGGGCCTAGAGGATGGTGAAGAGGTACACCTGCCGTAGCCCTCACAGCTCCTCCCTGACAGCGCCTCAATGCTTACTAAGCTAAAGGCACAACAACAGGCTAGCGTCCTCATGCTTCTGACTTCGTCTTTCTAGAAAGTGGCAGGAAATGATAGAGGGGCGGATTGCGTTGCCACGGACATGTTCAGTTGTGGCATCGATATTCATATCAATCTTGACATCAGCAGACCCTCGCATTTACAGCTACTCTTCACGCAGACGTGCAAGTGAAAGACAAGTGAAAGGTCAATGATTACAGGATTAGCTAGAGAGGAAGGATGTAGGAGGGGCGCTGAAGGATGCGGAGACGTTTAACTTTGGCGCGATATTTACAGTCGAATATCAAAACAATTCGGAGGCTCGCTCTCGCAGGGTTTTAGGAGACTCAGCGTAGTTTGTTCTAACTTACCCCAATATTTTGCACGGTTTCAGGCTTTGCACACCTATTGAAGTATGCTGACATCGATGATGAGTTGATATCACGTGCCCGCTTCCTCTCGTCCTATAGCTTTACTCACTGACTTCCAAACCCTTACTCCGATCTCGTCCTCTTCCTTCACCAACAATTTACTCCACTGAGGCTTTCGCGCGACTATTGAAGTATCCTGACGTCGATGATGAGTGGCTGTCACGTGCCCGCTGACCGCTTCCTCTGGCTCACTGACCGATTTCCGAAACTTTACTTCAACTTCGTTCTCTTCCTTCGCCACCTCTCTCTTCCATCACTACCTCGACCTCCTCCTTCACCAACACCTCGCCCTGCTCAGCTTCTGGTCAGCGCTTCCCTTTCAACAATTTCACGTACTTTTTAACTCTCTTTCCTGAGTGCCTTTCATTTTTCGATCGCTTTGCGGTTGGCCGCCGTCTCTTGGCCGCTGCCGTCGTCGCGAAAACCGCGACACCATGTCCAAGCTATTCATCAGGTATGCACCTCACTTCTCATACCGACATCCAGCGCGAGCTAACCGCATCGTAGTGGGCTTGCTTGGCACACCGATGATGGCTTCGCGGCACCATGTCCAAGCTATTCATCGGGCTCGTGAGCCAGCATCCATGCTGAGCACTGAGAGCTCCGCTGACACAACTTCAACTGCCTCGCCTGGCACACGCGATGATGCAGGGGAGATTTTGACACCATGTCCAAGCTATTCATTGGGTACGTAAATCAAATGCCCGATGAATGCCTGGAGCTTCGCTCACAGCATCATAGTGGCCTGAGCTGGCACACGACGACGGATGTGGTGTCCCTTGCACCATCTCCACGCCATTTGTTGGGTTCGCTTGTGAGGTTTCTGCGGGTGCCTGACACACGCGACGATGCAGGTAGGACATCCTGGCGCCATGTCCAGAGTATCCATCAGGTTCATTCACCTATCTACTTACAGCATATTCAGAGCATCGCTAACGCTATTATAGCGGCCTTGCCTGGCATACCGACGAAGCCACACTTTGCGTCAGAGTGGAGGCCATATTTTGAGTCTTTGGAAAACCTGCAACACCATGTCTAAGCTATTCATTGGGTTCGTAAGTTCGTTCTTCTGCGGAATGTTTACCCACGCTGACACCATCGCAGTGGCCTTGCCTGGCACACCGATGATGCCAGATCTGGACCAGAATCGAGGCTCTGCTCCCCTTCTTCGTAACAAAATCCAAGTAAGCATGTTGTATTGCTGGAATTCGACGACACCATGTCTAAGCTATTCATTGGGTTCGTGCATGGGTGCTCCTTCAGGACTTTCAAGCAACGCTAACAGCATTGCAGCAGCCTGGCCTGGCACACCGACGATGCCACCCTCCGCACCAAGCTGGACGAGGCAGTTGTTGGGGTGATGGACGGGAGCAGACCTGCGTCGCCGGTACAACGTGAGAGATGAAGACGGATTGGGTGCTCCTGGTGCTTCTCGGCAGCCAACGAGCTGCAGAAGAAGACCGAGGCAGTCTCGGTGGTCCCCAAGAGCAGGGTAAATCGTCCCCGACAGTACCGCAAGGCGGTCGCTCTGTCCTCAACACCTCCCGGAATTGGCCAGGCGGCGTGGATTAATGGTGGTGGAAGCAACGGAAGCGGATCTTTGGGCTGGGCGGTAGCGTCGTGTAGGCTCCGGGTAGTCGCCCCGTTTGGAACGGGCTTCACATCAGCATGCAGTGAGAAGAGTTCTGGAGCACTAGATAGTGGCTCCTTCCGGCTTTAATGAGGCCAAACATGCAGTCAATGAGACGGCGGATTCCAAAAGCGAGGAAATGTTGTCCAAACAGCAAGGATCTGTGACATGTAAGTCGCCTGATCTGTAAGGGTGTCAGCGGCGAGGGTCACCGAAGATCAATTTTATCCTCACCAACTCCCGCTTCTCCGCACACCACACCACACCAAAGCACCCTCCCTTGACCATAGAAACTTCAGTGTCCTTACAGTGCCCTTCACGTATCGGACCCAAGAACCTCACTACGACAAGTCGTCTCGTTGAGGTGGAAGACTGGATGCTTTTTAGCTTGGACTCGAGCCAAATTCCTCACACCATCTAGCAACGCCATCCCCCCGACCGTCTGCTGCCCGAACTGTCAACCGACCAACGTGTCTCATGTATCCAGGGTAACTCCCTCCAAAAGCCCGTTGCGGACCTTACTGACAGCGAATCAGGTCGAATCTCCGCCCTTCCCAATGCCCTGCGCGCCCGAAGAATCATTTAGATAGATCATCGGTATCCGATGTAACCACCGAAGTACTGTCGCCGACTGAAGAGCCGTTTCCCCTTCGACAGTTTGCCATCACAACTTGCAGGACCTTGAATGATGAGATACATGGCACAGTTGGGATATTGCGAATAAAGACGCTACTAGTTCTTACCTAGAATTTTGAGATCCTCCGCCAGCAGCAAGCCGACCAGCAGACACATCCATTATTCCCAACCCCAACATCTCCGGCATAGATTGGGCTATCTGCCTCAGCTGGCCTTCATGTGTCTCCCGACACAAAACAACTCACATGTGGTAGGAGCCTGACCTCTTCAAACGCGCAGTTCGCCGCGATTTCCACTCCAGACTCCATTTGGGAGAGAGTAACCACAGCCTCTCCATCTGCACAAATTAACGCCACACTTACTTCCATATGGCTGGCCAACGTGGATATGTGCCAACAGGGGAACTATCACGCACCGTCTACCACCAGACCTCAATCCGCTCTTCGTATACACCGGACGGACTAACTGGTTGGACATGGCGATTTTTATGTAGAATATCAAATGCAGGTCGACTTGATTTCCCCACGCGGGCCATCCTGTGAATGATAGCACCCGAGGGGGCCCGAAGAGCTACCAGCCTTGTCAAAAGGGTCGTTTTACAATTCTTGAAGACGTGCCAGGAGATTTCAAACGGTACTATGCAGGTGAAGAGAAGCAGTAATACATGATCAAATTCACAGTCTTCAGCACGTAGCACACCAAATTCTTTTGCATTACGATGGTATTATGCTCTCAGTCTCGATTTCAGCTCCCGACGGTGCCCAAAATTCCGCTCATTTCCCCACCTTATCGCCCCCAGCCTCCCCGGACAGCACAACATATTTAGCCACCCAAGAGCTCTGGTTCGAGCTCTGCTTGGAGAACATCACCCCAGCTACATAGCGTAAGCACAAAAGTAACCAGACTGCCCGGCCCATGGTCGCACTTACCAACAATGAGCACCGTTGCGAGAGTGTAGCCCATGACGAGAAAGAGAAGGAACTTGACGTTATTTTTGCAGCAATTGACCGTCTGGTTACTCCAATTGGAGACCTTTTTGCAGATGGCGGTTATTATGGCGTGGATGGCGGTCATTATAGCGCGAATTGCAGTTACTGTGGCACGAATGGCGGTTCTTATGGCATGGCGCGGTGTTTGATTTGGGGTAGCTTGAGAGGCAGTTGTGGTTGCATGGGGAACTACTTCGCGCAACTCGACGTTCCAATTGTACGATGGCCGGAAGAGGGAGTAGTCTAGAACGTACGCTGTCAGCTAGAGAGTCACAGGACATGGACGCGGTCTGTACTTGTTTCTGCGGGCTGTTGCTGGTTACTGCGAGGCGAAGAGTTGACGGCAGGTGGTGAATCCATAGCGGAGGGTGAATTTATATAATTAGCGACGCTAAGGAGGCTCTTCAGGACGGATTTGCGCGTAGTGGGCTCAATTTTAGATTTGGAGCGCGAAGATTAGGTGTGGCACGTTGTTTGTGGTCAATGTAAGCGAAGTGGCAAGCTTTATAGGAAGAACGTCACTCCCTATAACACCTCCGACCCCAATCTGCTCGCTACCCCCAACACCGGTATGCTCCCAACGGATTTCTCTTCGTAACAAAGGTAGAGACGTGTCCCGCCATGCAGTACCTCATCCTCATCCGACCAGCTTGACACGAGCACGATCGACGTCCGTCCCTCTAGCAAGACTACCGCTAGTACTCTCATTATCAACACTACGACCACGACGGTAAAGAGAGAGACAACTGGAGCGGAGTGAGGGGCCAGTAATCCTGGTACGCCTCCGGGAACTTTCGAACCCCTATCTTCCTCGTGAAGCTGCTAATTGCGTCCCAAAGGTCCAACTTACCCCTAAACCTCTCTACGAAGCCTTTCTGGACTGGGATTCCGAGCCCTCGACCTCTGAAACGACGCAACTCACCTCCTCTACTGATCTAACCTCCTTACCTGGAGGCTCAAACCGACATCAGAGCTCATCTCCTCCGCACACCAGCTCAACACCTCAGCTTTCTCGTAGCTTGACGCTAATACAACGCGTCCGCTTATCGAGTGCGTCCGGTCCTACTCATGATGAGAAAAGTCAAAAGTGTCCTCTTGGTGCAAGCAAGAGGGCGACATTCGAGGGCATCGCAAGCTCAGCCGACACCCTTCCGCTCCAGGAAGATCTTACAGCTAGTAGTGTTGCAACAACACGACCAGCTATCGAGTCTCACAGCAAGCAGAGGAGTTGGCCTCACTTCCGTCCGGCGAGGTGAAGTGCAGAATGTCATCGCTGCAAGATTTCAGCTCTCCGTTGTCCTCTGCTATGCTGCCTATTAGGCCTGGGTACACTCGTAATATCCAGTACAAGGTGATAAGCAAGTTGGCTCTGGCTGGAATGGACACCAACCGCCCTCGACGCACTCGGCAGCATACTTCCCAAGCAAATTTCCCGGGCAGGCGCGCCATTCGCAACGCCTCCGGCGGTAGAAACTCGCGCCTTGGATTCGAGCGAGGTAGCATCGGGAGAAGATGGTGGAGCAGAAGGCAGAGGTGGACACTCCTAGACCTCAAGCGTATACATCAGGAAAAGATGTGACAGCCACCACTCGGGACTTGTTCAACCTCATCAAAAGCCCACAGAATGGAGCAGCGCATGGCGTTGCGGAAGCCGACCCGCAGCCTCCGGTCCCATCGAGGTCCATGTTGACAGCACCAGACGAGCTATTTGCCCTGTCACTGCGCCAGATACAAACTCTACATCTGGAGTTTGCTGTCACCAGCCGGGCGTTCACTTCCTACATTGCAGGAGTCTACTAAGTCTGAGGGCGAGCAAGTCTCGCAGCAGGCGTCAACTACCTCAACGCTGAGTTCCACTACACACCAACAGCACCATGTCCTGCCTTCTCCTTCAAGCCACTTGCCAATCCCTTCCAGTATGACATCAATAAGAACGTGGACAGAATGCATCATCAGCCCGCGTTTATGGAGCGGCCACGGCGGAGGGAAGGACAGCTTAGAGGCATATCCACTGTACATAGAGTCGGACCCATCTGTTTTCAGGATGTTAGGATGAAATCTGAAAGAAATTGCACAATGTGACCTACTTAGGTTTTGACGATAGCCTTGATATTAATTGCAATTCACTTTTCTTTGCTTAAGTGAAGAGCTACTAAAAACAAGCGGTCGTACGGCTATCCGTAGCTGCAACGTAGTCCTCCACAATTTTGTGGCTTAAGCAGATTGTACATAGGGGTGAAACCCGTAGGCGGAGGTTTCTCATGGTCGCGTCTCACGCGCTCACCAAGGCAGCGACCTCTCCCTCTTTCCTCCTCCTCACCCACCACAACAGCACCATCCTGTTAAGCCCTAGCATGACCGCTGCACCTACTGTAAGTCTACGTCTCCTCTTCTTCACAACTCTCGCAGCAGATTAGCTAACCTGCGCCGTCCGCAGAGGCCTCCACAAAACCTCACCCGCACCCGTCCGGCCGAGTACTCCCTCCCTACCTAGAGCGCCAAAGGCAGGCAGCTTCGACGGGACGAGCCCATCGGCGATTTAGCGACGCCGCCGGCTTGCGGACAATTTTTGCGGAGGCTACCAAGGCATGTCGGGAGGTGAGGGCGATTACGACCAATCTCAACAGGACGGCGGATAGAAGGTCCATTGAATGCGGCTGGGTAGAAGGTCCATTGACTGGAGTCGGGCTTCTCTCCACTGAATTCGGCAGTGCCGCTGGATGTGAGTGCAGCTCTCCCAGCATTCACGGCTCTGGCGACTAACGCATAGCAGCAAAGTATTACTGCGATGAGTGGAGGCTGGCAGGGCAGAGGGAACTTCCGTATCGGGTGGAGAGGGCGGCTACAGCCAATCTCAGCGGGACGGCGGGTAGAAGGGCTACTGAACTGCGGCGGGTAGAAGGTCTATTGGATGCGGCCGGGTAGAGACTTCATTGACTGCTCTCGGGATCCAGATGGACTTCTCTGGACAGTGGCGTTGGGTGTAAGTAAAGCTCTCCCAGTTCAAGGCTCTGACAACTAACGCAGAGAAGAAAAGCAATACTGCGGCCACTGATGATCTTTTCTGACGGTCTGATACGTCCTCCGCCAGACCGGTACCTCGAACCCCGAGTTCTCGTGGACGACAATGCCATAAGCCTTTTCGCCGATAGCAATGTGTCTGGAAACCGACCTTCAAGACATCAGCAAGGCACCCACAATCTTTTCTGCCGCGTCATGCTCTAGATATCGCTGGCGGGGTCTCCTGGGTGGAATTGACACGAGTCGACATCAAGATGCCACCGCGCAGTATACGGTGTCATGGGACGTTACAGCGGTGACCACCCCGAAGGTCAGGCAAAGTGCCTGAGCGGAGCTTGCTTGACGATCGTGCTATGCAGCTGGCTCGCCGTCATCGACACCACCCCATCGACACCACCCAGGACTTCTCTTCCCGCCATGCCCTTGGCCTTAGCCGTCCGAGTCACGATCCTTGGTCTTCCCCACGACGCCGAGGAATTCAGGCAACTCCAGTGACCATCGCCCATCGAAGAAGATGATTTCAGTACCAGGCGCGATTGTGGGCAAGCCCATGTACTGTGACGTTTTGGCACCCGTTTCAAGCTGAGGCCTTTTCGCGATAGCGGTCGCCGCGTGACGGTCATTCCTCGTATCGACTACCAGCGCGAGCGCACTGCCCTCGCAGCATCTCTGCGATGATGACCCGTGGCATTCAAGGTAAGATCGAGGCTCATCGCTCTCACGGTTTCTAGAACTGATGTGAACGAGAATGATAAGACTCGTCGCCTTGCCTGCCTAAGAACGTCAAGCTTCGCGAAGTTCTAATTCAGTCATGGCGAACGCAGAAAAACAGGATTGTCGTCCCGCCGCCTTGCGTTTTGGAATCGCCAGAAGGAAAGGCGCACCGTCTCGCTGCAGGTGTCGCCAGCGAGCATGGTGATGGCCCAGTTGTGAGCAAGGAACAGCTGTTCACCAAGGTGAAAGAGAAAGAGTGTTTTGGTGAGAAGCAATTGCTGTGTTGCTGTCTGCCGAGCCAGTGGTAGAAGGTCCATTCTATTTTGTCGTTCCAGAGAGAACACAGAAGGCTGCTCGCGGGCGAACTCCAGTATTCGAGGCTGGAGAGCATATCTTGGTTCGAGAGCTCTATTGTGGGCGTTGTAGGTATCAAATCGGGCATATATTGCAGCAGATATGGCCCGTCGTCGTTGCCAATTGCCAAAAATACCTATTTATACGCAAGACCTTTCTCGGCCTAGACTTTGAGGCTCATTGCCGTTTGTGTCCGGATTATGCTAACGCCTGAGCCATCGAGATTGATATGACTGCTTCAATACGAATGGACCCAGAGCGGAGCTGAAGCAACTGTCTAGTCTACTTGTTCTTGGCGGGATCTTTTCGGCCCTCCGGTCTTCAACAAGTCTACCGTCTCCAAAGAAGCCCGGAGAATCACGGACGACAAATATATTTTCCTAAGATTCAGCATCGTTTAGCCTTGAGGAGCTGTAGCGCCGGAATGGACTTGATCTCGAGTAGCAGCCCGTGAATGGAGACACCATCGGAGGTGCATACCCAGTCCGTTGCCGCTCATTTTCCGTCAGTTATTGAAAAACGAAACCCACCGGTCTCGTTCCTCACCATTGACCACAAGGCAGGAGTGCTGGCCTCTTCAATTGAGGCTCCGCGCGAGATGCTTGACCTCGCCACCTCAGCAAGAGCAGCCTAACCCTACCATCACCCCCTCCGTTGATCAAAAGCCTGCTTGGACGGCGTGTTCGCTTTTTAATTCCGCGAGTCAATAGAAAAATAGACCCGTTTCACCGAATGCGCCCGCCATCTTCACTGATTGCGGTTTTCACAGTAATTCAGCCCCTGTTCTCCATCAGCCTCTGTTCTCCGTCAACCTCAACCGTCTGAACAGAATCTTCTTATTAAGGTTCCACTAGAGTGCCGCCGGCGACTTCAGCTTCCAGAAGACAAGGATAACATGAGCAGCTGCTCGACCGGATCCAACCACTAGACGCGGATTAGAGGGGGATGGCCTTGAGCGAGGTTGAGTTCTTCTGCGAGGCGTTCGGCGAGGACTCCTCACCGAGGTGAAAGACGAGCTGCTCTTCAGTGAAGAACAAGTTCTATCTTCCTGTTTCCTGCCTCTTGGTTTTGAGGTCCGGCTCTCCTCTTCTGTGAAACAACAGTGCTTGAACTATCCCCAGTGGCGATTCTCACGAGCCTCCCCAAAATGGACTCCTTTGTTTCTGCCCATCGCCGGACACTGCAGTCAGAGACATTGTCAGCACGCCAATAGCTTGGTTGCGCTCCAAATGTCAACACCTGCAGCATGTTCCCCGGATCTCCTATGTTGCGAGCCGATAGTACAGGGTTTTCCAATCAGTAATACCACAAAACCCCCTCCGAAGAACATCACCCTCGCTCTTCCCGTCGCAGGACACGGTATCAAGATTGGATTCGTGGCCACTGGTATATGTAAGAAGAGAACTTGAGGCAGATATTTGACACAGAAGAGGGCCACCAGCTGCCATTCGGGCTTGTGATTGACCTGGGCCAGGAACGAGTCAGCTGGTTTGTCGACGATCCCGCCGTGGAGGTTCTCCGTCCACGCACCTCCAGTCAGTCCGTAAAGTCCGTTCTACGACACGACGTCACGTCACGGCAGCAAAGGGACGGATGACAGTCAAGGAGTTTGGGAGCAGTGAATACTTGTGTGTCAAGTGCAGCGATATCCAATTCACACGGGGAGACAAGGAATTATGGGTCCATTCAAAGATGACATGGGGATGATCAATGTCGCTTGCGATGTCGTATCTGCTGGGGCAGCCAGGATACACGCGCTAGCCTTTCACTTATTTCACCTGTCTTACTCAGCTGCCACGGCCTTTCTCGCACTTCTCCATAAACCTCGCCACCTAGCACCTTCACCATGCCAACCGCCGCGGTCACCGTAGGGCCCAACGCCGTGCTTGCTTATGTCTTTGTTGCGTTCTGCGGTTGGCTTCAGCGCTTGAAGCTATAAACTAACCGCGCATAAAGCTCACAGGATCAGAGGTACCGATGCGGTCACTAGGGAAGAGATGTCGGTGGGGTTACTGGGCAGTAAAGAGATAGGGGAAACTCGAATTCATAATCATCAGTAAGGCGTTGAACACTGTCTAGGCGAGGTGGAATGAATTCGAATTCATATCGTTGTATAGTACCCTCCAAAAATCTCAAATATGGCTAGAATGTAGATCCCTTTGCTAGAAGCACGAAGATCTGTACCCTTAATTGATGTTATAACGAAGAAAGCTTAGGCAGCTGGGGATCTCCCTACCACTCATTCTTTGAAAAAGACATTTCTGTGTGTTTCTGAGCAGATCTACTTTCGAAATTGATAAGCCAAATGGACGGTGTTTCGTGCCTCGAACTGAGTGCTGGTTCGATACTTGTGGTGAGTCTCAAAGGGACGGCGAAGAATTTCCCGACTTCCAACTCATAGACGAGACTGCTCTGCAACGCTCCAACACCCATCCTTCTCCCAACGCCCGTATCACGCACCACAAGCGCAGCAAGTTATCGTCAAACTCTCGGAGGACATCGGCTGCCTTTGCCATGTGAAACTTCCTCCACTTGTCTCGTGTCTCCACCAGCTTAGGATAGCAGCTTCAGAATCTGCACCCGCGACCGTCAAGCCTCTCAGTCGACGCGAAATCGTCAATCTTCGTCAACTCCACCTACGCACCAACGTCTCTCAGTCTAGGAGCCAAAAGAGAATGGCAAGCCAGTTGCGGCTTCTCTCCCGACGGCAGTTGGGTGAAGCGGACGAGCGAGCGCAACAAGCTGCTCGAGCGACTCTATCACATTTAGGGTCAGGGCTTCTCCGGGCGTGTACCCTTGTCTGCAGGCTCTTACTGGCGACCTACGGATGACCAAGGTGTGTGTTTCGGCCTTGCCGGCTTTAACTTAAGACTGACCTTCACAGTTGCTCGCGTTCCTCCTTCCTGCTCAATACCGCGTACGCTCCTCCCTCATACCGACACTATCCTACAGATTTTGAACTGGTCGCCGGACGACTCGCGGGCCAGGACATGCACAGGTCGAGAAGAACTGAAATACTGGTTGGAGCCGTTGAAGCATCACTCCCGGTACCGTGAAGGCACAAACTGCTGAGCTCAAAGGTGCCTTCGAGGAGCGACACGATGCCGCTGTAGACAAACAGCTTGTGACAGATATGCAGAACAATGAGATAGAGTATAAGAAGTATAATGCGAAGCTTGAGGAGGTTGAGGTTCGGGGAAGAGTTTGATTGGGGGCTTTGCTCGCTCCTCCCGTTTCCGCTGGCCTTTTGCGATGGTAATCATAGGTGCTGCCTCTGGTCTTTTGCGATGATAATCAGGGTGTGCCGGTTTGGTCTTTTGCGATGGTAATCACGGGTGTCGGTCTGATCTTTTGCGATGGTAATCATGGGTGTGTCGGACTGGTCTCTTCCGATGGTAATCATGGGTCGGGCTGGCTGCTGCTGGCGTAGGAGATGGACTCGCAATGGACTATGAATATACCTTTTACATGCCAGTCTCCGAGGCGACATCGCGATTATACTTGTTTTCCAAGATGAGAAATAGGTTGAAGCACTTAGGACAGCGGCAAGAAATTCCTTTCAATCATACAACTCAACAGACTACAAATGGTTCCTAGAAAGATAAAACGGTGGAAAGATATCACGGTGCGAATAGCACTCCCCAGATGCTGAGGTTGTTGGAGAGTTTCCAGTCGCTATCGTCGTCGATTGAGCAGTCTTGAAATGCATCGCCTGAGTTTTCTATCACTTGATGGAGAAGAAGGGCAACGCGGAGGCAGATCGTGCAAGGACTGTGCTTCCAAAGAACCACTGCAGGCACAATAAACGTTTCGTCGTCAATCCAGAACATGGTGCC